TAATCACTGTAGCAGTAAAATAGCTGCCTGTTCTTTTAACTCTTGTGTGTGTGTGAAAGTCTAAACACTGTAAAAAGACTGTTAAAGGAAAGCTAACTAGCATGTGCTGGTAAACACTGTAAACATGTTACAGGAATAGCATATTCCTTTAACTAGCATGTGTTAGTATAAGCACTATGGCTTTTCTTTATCTAGCTATATACAATGTTAAATGAATAACTGGCTTATGCTAGTAAACACTGTAAACATGTTACAGGAATAGCTTGACGAAACATGAAACATGGCCAAGTTCAAGCTGCAATGTTTTCACCATAATGAAACGCCATCCACTGAATGCCATAATGAGTTGCCATGCAACAGTGGTGGACAGTATGTACGTAAATGTAATTTGTTACTGTACTTAAGTAGTTTTTCGTGTATCTGTACTTTACTAAAGTATTTTCATTTTGGTGACTTTTTACTTTCACTCCACTACATTTCAAAGTCAAATATCTCACTTTTTACTCCACCACATTATGAGAAATCTGTCGTTCCTTTTGGTTTATGTGTGAATAAAAATGCAACGTCCAAACGAAAGAAGCGCAAAGTAAGAACACCAATCAGGGCTCAGCGGTCACTTTGTTTTGAGCTTGTTTTGACCTGTTGGTCATACTGACCCAGTGCAGCACATTGTTCAACATCAGTGCAGCAGCGTAAAATTTTGGGAGAGTCTATTCAACATAAATGATGAACTAACCTAACTTTGTGTAAACAGACCACAATATAGAAATATGTACACATATGCAGTTGTGACTGACGTGTCTTTTTTCTGAATTTATACAAACACATTTCATTTTATAGTAAATTAGTTTTGGCTAGTTTATGTTTATGAACAGAGACCTACAGATGCAGTTTAGTAAAGGAAACTCATTTGTGAATCTGAGTTTAAAGTTTTTATTAAACTTGTAACTAATTTGAATTAAGTTAATTAATCTTTTAATACTTTTACTTTCTATACTTAAGTACATTTGAAGGCAAATCCTTTTGTACTTTTACTCCAGTGGAGGTCTAAAGGGAGAAACTTCTACTTTTACTGCAGTAATATTTTACCTTGGGTGTCTCTACTTTAACTCAGGCACATGGTTTGTGTACTTCGTCCACCTCTGCCATCCAATCAGCTGCTTGTTATTGTGCACTGGTTGTTGTTGTTTAGGTTTCTTAGTGTTTTTTCTGTTTTTTATAGTAGCCTGACAGTGTTTCGTTACACTGTACAACCCTGTATTGGTATAATGATAATAAAGTTGAATTGAATTGAATCTACAGGCTCTAAATCTGTCTTTTCATAATTCATGCAGTTCAGTGTTGTTCACCCATCATATACTTAGAAAATACTGTACTGTAACTTTTTATCACAATAAAAATAATATATCATCACATCGCTCAGCCCTAATGTGAATCTCCAATTAACTGTGTTCAAACTGGAGTGTTTTCCAGAATGTTCTGTTGTTTTCTCCCCTGGTGTTTGGACCCCTAGTTATGTTTTGGTCAGTGGAAACTTACGGCACACCCGGGACAAAGTTTTCAACTTTTGACCTTTGACCCCTGAAAGGACGTCATGTGGTGACTGACCTTTTTGCAAGCAAACAGCTGGAGCTGAAACGGCACAACAAAACCACAGTAAACACAGGATTTGGGGGTTTATTTCACTTCATTCTGGTTATATAATAAAGTGAAGTGCACCATAATGATCACAGCACCATTTAACAGTTTTCTTCTGTACAAAGATTAAGTCTCGTTACACTTTCACCAGAGTTCCCTCCCTGAAAATGATCTTTAATGTATAACCAGGCTTTGCAGTACAGAATGAAAAGCTTTTTAGGGCAAATCAGCTTAAACTTTCAGCAGAAATAAACATCTTGTATATCATCAATGATGTTTTTGTAGTCTTATATTGATAATCAAATTAAACATTGCTTTATTATTATTATTATTATTGTTGTTGTTGTTGTTGTTGTTGTTGAATTACATTCAGAACTTTATTTGCTTCTAGAAATAGTAACTGCACATACAACAGTCAAATAAGACACCATGTGAAGGTCACTGTGTGACTGTATGTGAGATTTAACAGCAAAATATGAAGAATTCAGTGCAACTCAAATGTGGAGAAACAGCGCCCTCTGGAGTTTACAGGAGAAAAGCTGCTTTACTGTTAACTCTGCCTGTTAACTGGACACTGATTCTAGATTAGCCTTAATCAGAAGTCCTACATACAGGCTTAGCATTGTATGTAATCATGTTTACCTTTAAAATATAATTTTACATTTAAAATTAAATTAAATATCCTAGACCAGATGTCGGCAACCCAGATGTGAAGAGGAGTTATTTTGTCCCATTTCAACAAAAACAAAAAACCACCACCTTTTATGTCCATTTTATTGGTGTAACGTTTTACTATCTTGGCTATAAAGATGTCTCAGTGTGTGTTATTGGAATCGGTATAGGCTAGAAAATATAAACAAAAACGCAGACTTGCTCTGCTCTGCTTTAAGCTTCAGCTCAGCTATAGCTGCTTTTCTCACATCTCCGACAGGAAAGGCCTACCTTTCAGAAAAGCAGAATCCTTTTGGTGGTTGAGTTTCTTTTAAACACATCAGGAAACCAGCTGGAGTAGATATAAGTGCAAATGAGTCCATTCGTCTCTAAATTCTAAATGTTCATCTTAAATCTTTCTCTTTTTTGCTATTTTGTTAGGTAGGCCAGATTGTTGTATGTGTTGCTATGTGACCGGCAGTCTGCGCACTAACTTTAACAACTAAAGCTTGTTAAATTAGCAGTTATATGTTATATGTAATGTAAATTCCAGCACTTAAGAGCATTTACTGTTAAAACTGTGCTAGAACTGTGTCAGAACAATCAGCAGAGATTTATTTTATTGTAAAAGAATATTATTGTATTTTTACCTAAAATGTAATTGTGCTGTGGAGCTGCAAGGGGGCAGTAAAAGAGCCTCATGTGGCCCCAGAGCTCCTACCTTTTAGCCGATAGCAGGCTAAAAGGTAGCTAACAGGCTAAATAAATTGATATTGAAGTGCTCTGAAAGTAGATATTACTATTATTATTATTATTATTACTATTTTATAAACTAATCAATAGCTGGCTGAACAGGCTGCTCCCTTATGGTTCACTGTGCAGTTTTGAAGTGAAGTATTTACTGAATCGTTCACTGTAAAACACGTGCATACACACACACACACACACACACACACACACACACACACACACATTATCTAAGCCACTGTAAAGTTTTAGGAGTCTTTAAGTATTAGTGTTGCGCTGTTAGCTTGACGCTGAAACTGCATAGACATCAGTGGAAACCAGCATTATTACTGCAGTGGTAATTTAGTGAGCAACTTGTTCAGGGCTTCTATATTAAAAACTGAACATTTTAATATTAAACACTGCTATTTTATGATATTCTAATTGTCATATCACAAGAAATTAAAAGGCTTATGAAATGAGCGCAATACACAATAATGGCCGATACTTGTCCTCTTCCAGCAGCTGCTTTTTGCTTGACAATAATGTTCTAAACAATCTACATTTCTTAGTTGAACAATTTATTGACATTAATTATAATTTATTAAATTAACAGTAGTTGTAAATTTGTTCGTCTTGACCATTTCATCATTTCATAAAAGCAATCAGCCACTTCAGGCCGTGCCTTACTGTGATTTCACCAAAGCCTTTTGTGGCTTATTATTAATGCACTAATGTTATTTATTAAGATGTTTGGCAACCATAGCCTACTGTTAATACACTGCACTGCTTTGCAGAAGAGCTGTTTACTGCAATTATTAACAATCAAATTTAATCGTTTGTTAAACTTTGGTGTGTTTTTATTATTTTTTGTAGATTTATAGATGCAGTGATCCACTGAAGGGCTGCACGTTACACTGAGTGTATTTACATGCACCTAATAATCCGATAACTGCAGAAAATCAGATTTTGTCAGTAATCTGATCAACATGTTTACATGCACTTGAGTAGTCACATAATGGGAAACTCCAGGTGTACATGAGTCAGACAGTAATCAGATTTCTCCTTTACAATCAGCCAATAAACTCTCAGAAGAAGACGTGCCGTAAACATAATGTAAAACTCAAACTTTTTTTTTTTAAACATCGCGCCACTTTACCTGAAAATATCATAAATCATCTAGAAGATGAAGAATGTTTAAATCCTTTATTTTATGTGTTTGGTTTCAGCGCCGCTTCAAAGGTGTTTTGCTGCAACTCACGACATCCACCATCTGATCTTGCACATGCTCAGACTGAAAAATCCGAAAGAAATCAGAGTAAGAGTTTACAGCACTGAGAAATCTGATTACTGAGCTAAAATCCAGCTCTCTTTAACGGATTTCGAGATCAGAGTATGGTGTTTACATGACTATTTTAATAATCTGATAACTGCAGAAATCCAATTATGATCGGATTATTGAGTGCATGAATACGCATTCAGTGATTCCACTCAGTTTCACCATGTACCAAACACCCCGTCAATTAAAGCTGCACTATGTAAGGTTTGGGGGATTTGGAGACCTCTCTGGTGTAAATGTGTAACTGCACGAGCTGTGCTTTGTCCCCGAGCAGATGAATCTGACTATTAAAAGAGAATTCAGAGAGAACTCAGTCTAAACTTGGTGAAGGAGCGTCTCTGAGGATGTGAGTGAATTATCTACTATAGTTGTCACATCTTCATCAGTGTGATGTTGATTTTGAGATCATTTGAGGCCGAAACATCGAGCCGGACCTTCTTTTAGCGTCTGTGTGACGTTAATACGTAAAGACGTATGACGTGGTGTGAAAACTCGACGTCTTTGACTTTGAATGATTATTTCAAGCTTCACAGGCAACTTACAGCAGAACACACTCACCATGTTTCAGTGTGTTTCTGTTTTCCTCACTCAGTAATGACACCATAAAAACCATAAATCATGAACATAAGCACCAACCACACGGACGTTCTATCAAAACCCTCCGTTTATTCTGTGCTTTGCACACGAGTACAAACCCACAACACAAACACACAGCAAATCAGTTCAGCTTATCAAAGTACTTCAGTTTTCCGGAGGGATCGGGAATAATCTGCAGGAAAAAGAGAGACGGAGAGATGCGGTCAGTCAGACTTATACACTTCCAATATAATCATACATCACCATACGGTCTGCTGTAGGACCACTCACCGTGTCACTGCCAGGCTTCCAGCCAGCCGGACAAACTGTAAACACAGAGGGAGCAGTTTGACACCAAAATCAGCACAAGAATAATCTTATCATATAATATTATTATAATACTATAGTATTACAGCATAAGTATACATTAGTGTTGTTACGATATTGAATATTTCAATTTCGATGTGATACTTTATGAAATATATTGAAATTCGATACCATTTTGATACTAAAGCCAGATAAAACTGAGGATGAACCCAACACCATTCGCCAAACTAAATGGGCTGTAAGATGCTTTACAGACTGGCTTGAACAAAACAACATTAATACTGATCTGGCAAAAATTGACCAAACTGAGCTGAACTTGATATTGCGGCAGCTTTATGGCTCAGTCTGATTTGGTCAGACTCTGAGGGTGAGACACGTTTGGCGAATGGTGTTGGGTTCATTTCTGGCTGATTCCAGGTTGTTTAGCTGTTCTTCTGTCTCAGCTGCCGACTGAAAAGCTGCTCAGTGGTGATGACAGTTTGGGAATTTAGTGTAAGGAGCTGGAGAACGAACTGCCGGCTGTGCAGCGAGTGGGCGGAGCTCGTTACTCTGACGTATTAACAAGCTGCTCGTTAAGGAACTATAATTGGTGAAGGAACTGCGAAGATTAAAACATATTAAACGCCGCGTTCACGGCCCAGTTTATTAATTTATTACTGTATTTATTTAACTGTTGTATAAAGCAATAGAACACTCGAGGAGTGTGTTATCGCCAATAACATCACGGCTGTGATGATCTACAGCGACCAAATCACAGCCGTGATGTTATTTCGCAATAACACACTCCCTCTGTGTTTTATTGCTTAAGTATAAAACAGGTCGGCGCGCTGGTGTTAGAACAATGTATCCCAAAAATCGAGTGGTCCCACTGAGCTTCCATATTTTATTTGTATAGCCAAGGTGAGTATGGCACGTGCCCGTCCCCCGAGGCCCGAACTCTGACCGAGGACGAAGCCCTGTGAGGACGGCGGGGAGAGGCAGCAGTGAGAGACTGAAGACTAAAGAAAAGATTGAGTGAGAGAAGGACTGAAAAGTCTTGTTTGAAGCCACTGAAAAGTGGCAAGCTTAGCTTTGGTTTTGGTTGCGAGTTCTTTGTGTTTTGTTTGTATTTGGAGTGAAGAATTAAGCAAAATGGCTGCTGCGAACTTGAACCCTGCCTCCAGCATCAGCATTGGTGCAGTGAGAAATACAGGGGGACCTGGGGGGTCATCATCATTCATTACCAAAGACAATTTCTTCATACAAATGCAATGGTAAAATTACAGCAAAATTGCGGTCATAGGACCTTTAAATAATCATTTAATGGAAACGATGATCATTCCATGCAGTTTTCTGTATAATCGTTATTGATTTTTGGTTTCAGCACTTTATAATGTGTCTTTTATGAGGCGTAAAATCATGTAAAAGTGATTATGATCGTGCTGCAGCTGTGTGTGTGTGTGTCTGTGTGTACCTTCTCCGTGTTTGTCCGTGTACTGGAAGGCCTGAACCAGCCTGAGTGTTTCGTCGACAGAGCGTCCAACCGGCAGGTCATTCATAGTGATCTGTCTAAGTGTTCCTTTATTATCGATGATGAACAAACCTCTGAAAAACAAACAAACATATTCATACATGTACAATCAAACTAATCTACAGTAGATTACAGCAAAACCTCCTGATCCAAACTGCAGGACTTTTGCTGTCTGTATGAAACAGAGGCTGATCCAGGGTCAGCTTCTGTCTTCTCAATCTGAATGAATGTGATTATATGGAACAGTGACCTGATCCCATATCAGAGTCCTGTCTCACGAAGCTTGGCCCCAATTGGCCAGATGGCCATCCCTGATTGGTCAGAATCTCGGCCCTGATTGGCCACGAAGTGCGGCCCAGTTTGGCCACGAAGCACGGCCCCGTTTGGCCACGAAGCGCGGCCCAGTTTGGCCACGAATCTTGCCCCAGTTCGGTCACGAAGCCGCCCCTTGTTCGGCCAGGAGACCGCCCCTGATTGGTCAGAAGCTCTTGGGCTGTTTATGAGCTGAAGTCCTGAACTTTACAGGCCCTGGAGCAGGTAAGGTGTACAGCGTGTGATCCAGTGATCCACTGCGATCCAAAGGCAGTCCTGCTCTCTAACACTGAAACACTGCATAAACAATGTCCCTCTTTTCTGACAAGCACAGGACTGTGATTAAGAGCGTGAGGTGCGTTTACTCAGCATGGGGAGGGTTTGCAGATTTCCCTCTTTAGCCTGTACTATCCAATCAGAATCCTCACACCCTGTGTACACACATCAGTGTGTGTGAGCAAACAGCAGTCACTCTGACAACAAGCACACCCTGCAACCTTTCTACCAAGGTTTAAAACATTTTAAAGTGTTCAGTTTATCTTTATCTCACAAAGGACAAGCTCGTGATATTGTGTGGACCACTTTTTACCATGCTACATCACCATGGCAACTTTTGCTGGATACCTCACCTGCTCCAGGGCTGGTTACGTTCAAGATTTCATGAACAGCTTTTTGAGGAAACATGGTTCTCCATCTCGGCCCCATCACAGTGCCTGCTCAAGCAACGCAATTAGCGGTTAGTGTTCTCCTGCAAGCGTGTTGACGTGTATGAAAACAACACGGTGGAGCTTCACATGTCTCGGGGAAAGCTCATGCTAGCCCTCACCCTCCTAGCTTGGCACAATCATGTGATATAGAGAGACCTAAAAGGTGGATGTAGCTGTGTCATAAATGAATTAAAAATTAACAAATAATTAAGTAAATGAACAGAAACAAGAAAGAGTATCGGCTTTCAGTGTAAAAAGCACATCATGCTACATAAATATGAAGAATACAAAGTCTTTATTACTCCAATAAGCGCTTAAACAGTGGCAGTGGAGACAGCGCTGCTCTATACTGTCATAAATGCTGTACTTTCTACATATATATTTAGTATGAGTTCGTTTTGCTGCTTTGAAAAATAAGCCGCTCGAATCGTCTTCATGTTTGATGTGAATTAATCAGCTTGTGTAATAAAACCTCGATTAACAGAGAAAGTTGTTAAAGCGAGTAAACTGCAGCTGTTCGTTCTGTTCAGTGAAGCTGAAACTCACGAAGCCCGATTAAGGTGAACCAGCTTCGTCAGACAGAACCCTGCGATGTGTATGAATGTGTCTGCGTGCTTCTCTACCTGAGCGTGTGGCCCTGGTCCTCTAGGTAGACTCCATAGTCCTTGGCGATCTGGTGCGTGAGGTCAGACAGGAGGGGGATTTTCATTGGTCCGAGACCACCCTGCTTCCTGGGAGTGTTGATCCTGGTAACGGACAGAGAAAATATGCAAATAAACATCAACAGAGTTCTGGGAGGAATGTAAAATTTTAATCAAATCAGTTTTCTAGCTATCGCTAAAGCTTCAGCCCTGAGACTCTACGAGTCTCCATACTGCAGAGATGGTTCTGACCTCCTGCTGCCTGAACTGGGCTGAACCACATCACTGTATCACCTCTCTGTTAATATTCACTGTGCAATGTATCATAACCTGCTACTGTACCAACTCTCTCACTGCACACTTTACACTGTAATACTGCTAAAACTCATAGTTCTGTTTATACTCATTGTTTACACTCCTGCTCTCAGGTAAATACAACAAAACTGTCTTAGACACTATGTAAATATGCAAATAGATATACTTCTATTTCTACTTGCATACTTTACTCTAACTTATGTCTCATTTTTTTTTTATTTCTGACTAATTAATGTCAATTTTTATTTCTGTTATTAAAATACCACAGTATATGCAAGTTTATGTGCAAGTAAGTTTATATGTAAGTTCATGTCTTGCTACAGTAACACTGCCATTTCCCTTTGGGATAGATAGATCAATAGATAGATCGACAGATATCTATCGATCTCTCTCTCTATCTATGTGTCTATCTGTCTATTTATCTATCGATCCTGAAAGGAAATTGATCTATCTATCTATGTGTCTATCTTGGCGCTGGAGCTACGAGGGTAGTGTAGACCTCTGTTACAGTGTAAAACACTTCTCAGCTGATGGTCTAAATCTGTTGTAAGTGCGGCGTCCTCACCAGGCCAGGTGTGTGAACTGCGAGTCGACAGAACAGGCCACCACGTCTGCATTTATGGCGTGGAACTCGTGCACTCGGTCACTGAACGCAATGATCTCAGTGGGGCACACGAACGTACTGTTAAATAAAGAAAGAGAACAGATCAGACAGGTTACTGTCAGTCACATTAATCATTTATCAGCCCTCATACGCTCACCACTAGCACTGACATCACTGTAGAATAGCTTTAAATAGAAAATGTGCTCCAGCACTGAACCCAACACTCACTTTTTTCTTAATAACTTTACTTTTCTCCTCTTTAAGAGTAGATTGTTTCAATCAATCAATCAGTCAATCAACCTTTATTTAATCTCGAAAAACACTGAGGGTGACCCTTATTTACAATGTTGCCGAGTTGATACAGAACAAGGGATTGATAATGTTAAGAACACATCAAATAATAAAAGTAAATTAACAAAAAAGACTCAAATCAGGTAAGTATATATAAAAAAATAAAACATTAAATAACAACACAAAAAAACAATAAAATATATAAAAATACAGTAAAAAACAATAAAACATAGCTAAAATGTATAAGTTAATAAAATCAAATGAAAATAAAAAAAGGACAATAAGATTAAAAAGTAAAAAAAAAATTAAAATGACTATAATAAAGAATAATAATAAAATAATTATAATTAAAGTAGGAATAAGAATATGAATAATAATAAACAAACAAATAATAAAAAAATAAAATAAAATAAAATAAATACATTTAATAATAAACATTACATAATAGTAACTCTAACAGCTGCATCCCTGGACCGATAGCCGATATTTATCGCTACTGAAACTAAGACACAATCCACTTGGATTGGCACTGCAGAAAAATGTAATATTTATTTATAGAGAGTTACTAATATAGTAAAATGAATGCATTTCAATAAAATACAGATATTTAAGCATAGCATCCCAGCATCACCTAAACGTTCTGCTCTTCCAGAGTATGTGTACATCAAATATCAGACATATTCAGCTAATCTAATCATCTGTCTGATGCCAATAACTAGTTTTTTTTTGTTGTTTTTGTCCGTATAATATTCCTCTAATGCTGTAATGATAGTAAACTGTAATGCTTGTGCAGCATCCTGTAGTAAACTACAGTAATTTTTGAATTTACTATAAAATTCTTATATTAATCCTCTAGAAATGTAGAAACTACCATCGTATAGAATCTACCGAGTATTAAGTTGGTTAGGTAAGTGACCCTTATTAGTCCTACAATGGGGAAATTTCACCTGCGCCACTGGGAAGCACTATGGTATCTATTTGATACCATCTTTCCTTCATTTCATGGCTTGTGAAGAAAATGTCTCAGTGTAAGAAACATAATACATTTTTACGGCTGCACACTCACAAGTCCAGAGGATAGAAGAAGAAGACTAAGTATTTGCCCTTGTAGTCGGACAGTTTCAGCTCTTTAAACTCTCCATTGATGACGGCTGTTCCCTCCCAGTGTGGCGCAGGCTTGGAGACTGGAAAGAAAAAAAGGAAAAATCACATTTATGTTACAGGTAAGAGAGTCGTGTCCACTTTAATGAGGGTCATCTGACTGCATTTTACAACAGCCATCTCCAACACATCAGTGCACTCATGTCAATACATATGCAACAGATACTAAACCATGCAAATGCATAGAAAAGGAGGGAAAGTCAAAAAATACAAATGCAATTAAAATAAAAAGGGAAAGCACAATAGGAACATGTTGTTGCACTGTGTTATGCATGAAACTCAAAATAATCAGCAAAAAATCCTTGAATTCGTGTCCATTAAAGTGTTAATACAGTGCAGGTCCAAACATGACGTGGAATTAAAGACTTTATATGACAGATTTATTCTCGAACAATTTCTTTTTTAGCTTAATAAGCAGAAACAAACGCTTTCTGCGGAATGTGGAGCCCCAACAAACACAAACAGATTAAAAAAAGGCTTTTTATTTCCATTTTTTTACTAATTTAACACTTGCTAGCAGCTAGCTAGCTACGTTAGCCAGTTTCCTATTCCCAGACTGCAGCGTTGCTAAGCTAAGATCGGATTAACTATGCTAAGCTAACACTGACAGCTGGTGCAGAAGCAAAAGTGAAAGAGTCTGTAAAAGCAATATTTCCGAAAAACTATTTCAGTTTTTGGGGTCTGGTGCATGAAAGCGAGTGTCCCTGTGCAGAAGCGATGGAGCAGTGTGGAGAAATGGAGCAGAAACTGAAAATATCTGTGTACTTTTCGCCTTGCTGAGGTGCAGAGAGTGGTCTGAGACGGGAACGCGGAAAGCCTCTCCCGGGTAAACGTGCCCTCCGGCGTAGTTGTAACACTCCTGGTCCCTTTTCCCCTCTCCACCTCCTCCTGCGGTCACATCCAGGAGGATGAACACCGAACACAACACGCCGAGAAGCGCTTTGGTCACTTTGCTGCACTGTCGGACGTCCATACTGAGAGCTGCGGGCTGCACGTCTGTTTCAAGCCGAGGAGGAGGGACTGAGGCTGGGCGCGGATTCTTTCTCTCTCCGCGGCTGGAGCTCATTCGCTGGATGGAGGGAAAAAGTTCGGGAGGTGTGGAGGAAGATTTAAAGGAGCAGTTCAATTTTTTTGATGTACCACAAAGAAAAAGAAACGTACCGAGCCCCTAAGGTGACATGGTGATTAAGTCAGAGCTGGGTTAAGTTCTCTGGTTAAGTTTCTCGTAACTCATGACCTCAACATAGTAATTTGTGGCCTCAATATTCGTGGACTCAATATATTAATTTGTGGCCTCAGTATAATAATTCATGGCCTCAATACAGTAAATTTGCCTGAATATAGTAGTTTGTGACCTCAATGTAGTGAATAGGGGCCTCAATATATGAATTTGTGGCCTCGATAGATTAATTCATGGCCTCAACATAGTAAATTGTGGCCTATAGTAATTCGTGACCTCAATATACTAATTTGTGGCCTCAGTATAGTAAATTATGGCCTCAATATAGTAACTTGTGACCTGAGTATAGTAACTTGTGGCCTCAGTATAGTAATTATTTGTGGCCTCAGTATAGTAACTCATGGCCTCAATATATATAGTTATTAAAAAATAATCATATCAACATAAGGAATTAAATGTAATGAGTCAATAATTTTAATTTAAAGGTTGTGGAAACGTTAGAATTAGCGTCAGCTTGCTATTAAAACAATTTATTTTTATTTATTAAGTTCAGGACACTATTATTATCAGTTATATACATGTGTGTTTGTATGTCTTTGTGAACGTATGAAGAACAGCAGGGGCGCTGTGTGTTTGTTTGTATGTATTATTAACAGCAGGGGCGCTGTGCTCTCTCTCTCTCTCTCTCTCTCTCTCTCTCTCTCTCTCTCTCTCTCTCTCTCTCTCTCTCTCTCTCTCTCTCTCTCCCCCTCCCCCTCCCCCTCCCTCCCTCTAGTGCTCTAGTGTAGGCAGTAGTCTGCTCACTCCGGCCGCCTAGTATTAGTATGAGGAAGATGCTCTCTCTGATATCCAGCGCTCTGAGGCTCAGCGCCGGCAGGACTGTACGTACCACACTGCTAATCCCGCTTAATGACTGATAATCTGGGGTTGTTTATTCTAGTACTGAGGGTTTAATCTAACTCTGCGTTATAAAGGAGCTCTTCTGCTCGGTTAGCAGCTCAGAGAGACCCAGCCGGGCCGAGTTGACCTTGTAGAGACACAGAGAGAGTCACAGATTTACTCCTGAGTTTTAGTGAATATCTTGATCTTCAGGCTGAATGTCGCACTGTTTCAGTTAACTGGAGAATAATCGGTTAGTTTTAGCTGAGCTGCTCCGTTTTCAGTGTAAATGCAGGACAAGGCTTTATATGTTAGTCTGGGTAGCCGGTTAGCTTAGCCGGGCAGGCGAGCTAACAGGCTAACCCATCACATACACTGTGACAGCGAGCTAACAGGCTAACCCATCACATACACTGTGACAGCGAGCTAACAGGCTAACCCATCACATACACTGTGACAGCGAGCTAACGGGCTAACCCAACACATACACTGAGACAGGTAGCTAACGGGCTAACCCAACACATACACTGTGACAGCGAGATAACAGGCTAACCCATCACATACACTGTGACAGCGAGCTAACGGGCTAACCCAACACATACACTGAGACAGGTAGCTAACGGGCTAACCCAACACATACACTGTGACAGCGAGCTAACGGGCTAACCCAACACATACACTGTGACAGGTAGCTAACGGGCTAACCCAACACATACACTGTGACAGCGAGATAACAGGCTAACCCATCACATACACTGTGACAGCGAGCTAACAGGCTAACCCAACACATACACTGAGACAGGTAGCTAACGGGCTAACCCAACACATACACTGTGACAGCGAGATAACAGGCTAACCCATCACATACACTGTGACAGCGAGCTAACGGGCTAACCCAACACATACACTGAGACAGGTAGCTAACGGGCTAACCCAACACATACACTGTGACAGCGAGATAACAGGCTAACCCATCACATACACTGTGACAGCGAGCTAACGGGCTAACCCAACACATACACTGTGACAGGTCGCTAACGGGCTAACCCAACACATACACTGTGACAGCGAGATAACAGGCTAACCCATCACATACACTGTGACAGCGAGCTAACAGGCTAACCCAACACATACACTGTGACAGGTAGCTAACGGGCTAACCCAACACATACACTGTGACAGCGAGCTAACGGGCTAACCCAACACATACACCTAGACAGGTAGCTAACGGGCTAACCCAACACATACACTGTGACAGGTAGCTAACAGGCTAACCCAGCACATACACTGAGATAGGTAGCTAACGGGCTAACCCATCACATACACTGTGACAGCGAGCTCCATCTGCTAACTCCTCACTAGTCCAGCAGTGTCCAGGTGAAGGTGACCTCAGGGAACCTGCTGAACAGTTCCAACCTGTACAAATCAGAGTTGCACAATATATTAAGTTAGAAAGTCCAGTTCTTTTGCAATACTGCAATGAGGCAAACAGTCCAGTGTGACCACTTCCAAAGCTTTTCAGTGCAAAATTTCTGCATATTTCACTGGTTAAGATGTAAACAGAGTGGTTCAGAGTGGTTTGGTGTGAAGCGCTCTGTTATAGAGATAGTTACTGAGTCAGAGCTGTTCACAGTGGTGGTGATAGGAACCAGACGTCCACCTCTAAAAGCTCCCTCACAGAAAGTTCTTACATGAAATGTTTTATGATAGTTTTGAGAAGATTTTGCCCTCATCCATTCATGGTGGAGGGATACATAACGTGAGGCAAAATAGTCCCCAAAAATGTCTTTTTGTAAGTGAGATGTGAGCAGCTTAGATGTGACTGATATTTGTAACCAACATTTGATGTCATATTTATTGAACGCCACAAGAGAAAAATGTTTAGGTTATAATTTCTCTCTATATATTTCTATTTTGACTGTGACAATACAGATGAACGTCCCAGCCGAGACCCAATTAGGAACCTTTTGTTGTTGAGAGTCTCAAGGCGCGTTTAACTGCCCTGCTTGTTTGTCAGTGTGAATAAACGGACAGTGTTGACTGTTTTTAAACTTCTGTGATCGTATCATTCAGTTTCGAACACCGCAATGCTGCACTTGGTACCAAAATCAAAGTTCTGGTATCGTGACGACCCTAAAATGAACCAGCCGTGTTAAACACAGGACTGGATGCTAGTTCGGTGATTGTTTGGGTGATGTGGGCCGGGCAGTGCTCACCGAATCTGAGCCAAAATCTTATTATTATTACTTCAGATTTAGTTTAATGTCTCAGGATGGAGATGAACGACTGTCCATGTTTGGCTTTCGGGCTGGAGGTGGGACTGACCATTAGTGCTGGACAGGACGGGTCACTTCATACTGATAATTATACTCTCTTTCTCTCTCTCTCTCTCTCACTGGCTGTCTATAAGGGAGCCGAACTGGTTAATGAGGTAAGACTGTAGTTCACCTGGGTCCAAAGGGGAACTCCATCCACTTTCCAAAATGTTCTGCATAATTAAATGTTTAAGATGTAATCAGAGCGGTTCAGAGTGGTTTGGTGTGAAACGCTTCGTTCTAGAGAAACGTACCGAGTCAGAACTGTTCACAGTGGTGGTGATAGGAACCAGAGGTCCCCCTCTAAAAGCTCCCTCACAGAAAGTTACTACATGAAATGGTTGTGAATTCACTGCCTGATGACTGAGACACTGTTTTATGATAGTTTAGAGAACTTAAACTCCATTCATGGTGGAGGGATACATGCAGGGCGCTGTGAGGCAAAATAGTCCCCAAAGAAAACTTATTATTTCAGATTTTCCACTATTTTCCATCATCAACATTCATATAAACTCAGAAGACTCGTGTAGGTTCACTGGTGGTTCTGGATAGTAAATAAAATGTCTATATTTGTGTTGTAGTCATGGCGACCCCTGGTTCCCATCACCACCACTGTAAAGACATCTGAACCATTTCACACCAAAACACTCTGAATCACTCAATTATGGTTAAATTATGGAGAAATTTTGAATATCTGTGGAGTTCCCCTTTAAATCTGGTGTGTTGACATGGTCACTTTTCTTTTAACCCTCCATCGTATTGGAGACAGTCATTACCTTTGCTCTGCTTGCTTTGGCCGCTTTTCTAATTTTGGTTTTATCTTATATTTTTTATCCCATCCCAGCTTCTGTTCTGCTGACCTGTTGTGTGATGGCCTAATATATTTTTTCCTTTGTAGCTTCTACCTGCTGCTGTTGATCAGAGCCATTAAAGGGCCCATAGCCTACATTTTTCTGTATTTTTCCACCTGAGGTATAACATTTGTGTAGTTTAATGTCCTGAAAACAGTCATAATTCATTATTACTTGATCTTCTTTCAACCTCCTTTTATTTTTTAGATATAAACACACAGTGAGCTCTGTTTTTCTTTTGTAATAAATTTTTATTTTAATTGCTGTTAATCAAGCAGCTCTTTATTACAATCATATAGAAGGAAATCAGATCCTGCTGGTTCATCCATCCCCTTTTTCTGTACACACATTTCTAAAAGTGTATTAAATCAGATTTAATTAAAAGAATGACTGAAACAATGTTGGCCTTCATGTCTTTATGTGTAATGAGTAGATGTTTTAACTAAGCTGTGGTCAGTTCTGATGTACCTCTGTCATGTAGTTGAAGGTACTGAACTGTCTCTGGGTCAGTTCCCCTCCTGTGAACTTTTATGCCTGATTGGTGTATAAATGTATTGGTTTTTGTGACGTCACAAAAACAGAGTTGAAAGCATCTGTTTGTGCAGTTTAGTCTCCATGTATGCACTGAATAGTGAACAGACCAGTTTGAAGCTTTAACAGTGTTTACATTCTACTCTTAACTCTAAACAAAAAAAAAAGAAAAAGTGAGGAGAACTCAGTTTTCCCTCATACGGGCTCTTTAACTGCTCTTAACAGACCCTCATGTTTGTGCACGCTCTGTCTGCTGGGTGTTCTGTGAACATTATTCATCTGGAGAGAACCTGGAATTCTGTGGAAAGATGCTGTAGAGCCGGTCGGAGTTGATGAGCCGCTCTGTGGATTTAAGTGTAGAGTCTGTTTACTTCACTGGAAAATTCACAGGGAAACGAAAGCGAAGCTGATATGATTGATAAGGTGATTATTTGTGTTTTTATTCTGGGGCTGCCAGTCAGGAAAGGCGTGCGTTTGACTGACGTGTTGGCTGTAGGTGTCGTAGCTGTTCTGCTCAGTCATGAGGCCTCAGTTTGTGTCTCCTGAACACTGATTATTGGTGATGTATCGACACCTTTTCTTTCAGAGTACTGAAATGACCCTCATGAGCTCATCCTACTCAGTAACGTCACGTGAATGAATCACGTTCATCATCAGCACAAACTAACGAGCAGAACGAGCTCCGCTGAGAAGATAATTAACTCTGATCAGCTCTCAGCTTCATTATTAGAGCGAGACGAAGGAGAAAAAGGTGAGATGAGCTGCTTTTCCATCATTTACAGGCTTTAACTTCTGTTCGGCGCTGTTGCCATGGTAACGCTGAATGATGGTCACGCGCAGTGGAAAAAAAGCGCATGAATTCCGATCTGAGCGTCACATTAAGGTTGCATGACCACGAATCGGATACGTATCCGATCTAGGACCACATATGAAAGTAGCTCAGGTCGGATTTGAAAAGATCAGATTTGTGTCCACACAGCCCTGAAAACATCAGCTCTGAGTCACAACATAAAAAATATGTATTGTTTTGATGTGGAAGCATTGCGTCTGAATATTTCGCATTTTTGTGTCATTTATTTGTGTTGCGTTTGTGTAACGGTCTTTATACTTTGACCGGGAATTTAACCTGCTTCAGATCCGACAGACGTGCTAAACTGGAAATATAAACAAAGCGCCTATTTAGAAAAATCAGATTTTGGTACATCACTGATTATAGTGACCGCTGTATTGTTGGTTGTTTTTGTCTGCAGTCGTCGGCAGTCCAGCAGCTCCTGGCAGCGCAGCGCGAATATGTGGACATGACCTTTGACCCTGACCCCCCACTGCACCCTAAACCACACCCCACACCTCTCTCGGACACACACAGGGTCAGCAAGGACCCTCCGTCAGGGACGTTGGCGCCTTCACTAACTGTAAATCTAGTCAGCACGAATGAAGCTACAGAGCAAAAAAGGCCTGTAGAGCCAAAGCTGGACTGGACTGAGACTCTGAGGTCAGAATGTTCTCGTATGGACAAACCTGTGGTCACAGGTCTACCAGCTAATGGAAGTACATCGGTTGGACCTGGAGTGATATTAGATGTGTCAACAAAGGATGAGACGCTAACAGGTCTAGCGAATGCAGAACTGTTAATTAGTCATCCACGAGATGGCGCTGCGGTAGCTGTAGTTCAGCAGAAGGCCTTGAGAGAGTCCGCAATAACAGAACTGTTAGTTAGCAGTGATGTTTTGGACATGCCTTTGCCTGTAGATGGCGTCACTAGCCAGAAGTCTCCAGACAGAACTGTATTCGATACTGCCCAAACCCCTGCACCCCCCTCAGCTGAGCTGACCCCTCCACTGACCCCCAGCCCGACGGTCAGGAGCGGCCAGAATGCTGATTTAACGCACCATCCAGAGAACGTCCACAGCCAGGCTGGACACACTGCCGTCCCAGAGCCACAGCCTGCTGTGAGTAACGGCAGAACCTGTTATTACTTCTGTCTCTCACTCGTCTGGCTATAGAGCTGTAATGACCAGTTAGTCAACAACGTCAATTATGGGCAAAACGTTGATTACTTGAAAATAAATGTGCTTTATAATGTTCATATGATCCACACAGTCACTCTGACAGACTGTAATACACTACAGGAAGTGTAGGGGGCGATATGGCTTCTACTGTTTCATTTAAAAAGCTCTATAATGTTCATATGATCCACACAGTCACTCTGACAGACTGTAATACACTACAGGAAGTGTAGGGGGCGATATGGCTTCTACAGTTTCATTTAAAAAGCTCTATAATGTTCATATGATCCACACAGTCACTCTGACAGACTGTAATACACTACAGGAAGTGTAGGGGGCGATATGGCTTCTACTGTTTCATTTAAAAAGCGCTCTGTAACTGTTGTTTCTAAGTAAATAACGCATCTGTGTTGTTGGCTCAAATCATTGCAGCTCTACACTGTGTTTCCCCCAAACCCGTCTTACTGACCGAAGCATGACCCACCCCCTTCACAACACCCCTGAACTTTTCCCAGAATGCCTGGCTGTGCTGTCTGACACTGCTGCCTGCTGTTGCTCTGAAGGACTCGTCCTGTTCACTGTAGAATGTTTGAAGTGTTATAAGGAGCAGCTGAAGCTTTTTCCGTATTTCAGTGAAGCTGAACCAACCAGGGACCTCGTCAGGAGCTCAGCCTGATTGATCGGGAGCTCAGTCCTGGTTGCCCCGAAGCTCGTCCCTTCCCTGGTTGGTCAGGACCTCCTCCCTGGTTGGTCAGGACCTCGTCCATTATTGCTGGGAAGACTGTGCCTGATTGATCAGAATGTTATCCCTGATTGGTCGGAAGCTCGTCCCTGATTGGTCGGAAGCTCGTCCTTGATTGCTCGGAAGCTCGTCCCTGATTGGTCGGAAGCTCAGCCTTGATTGGTCAGGAACTCAGCCTTGATTGGTCAGGAACTCAGCCTTGATTGGTCAGGAACTCAGCCTGATTGATCGGGAGCTCAGTCCTGGTTGCCCCGAAGCTCGTCCCTTCCCTGGTTGGTCAGGACCTCATCCCTGGTTGGTCAGGACCTCGTCCCTAATTGCTGGGAAGGTTGTGCCTGATTGATCAGAATGTTATCTCTATTTGGTCGGAAGCTTGTCCCTGATTGGTCAGAAGTTCATCCCTGATTGGTCGGAAGCTCGTCCCTGATTGGTCGGAAGCTCGCCCCTGATTGGTCCGAGAGCTGTTTATGATATAGCATTCTGAACGTATGTGGCGATGGGGCCAGTTAGTCGTGGTGATGTAGCCTGTACAAAGTGATACAGCGTCAGGGGGCAGTCCAGGTTTCTATCCATCATGTTTACAGTTAGCTGGGTAACCAAGAAATCCTGCTTCGTGAGAGAGAACCCTGATCATTTGCGGTTCTGATGTGTTTGCTGCTCTCTTGTGCTCCGTGTAGATGATGGAAAAGTGTATGTGTGATCTTTAGATCTAGGACAGCATCTTTCTCCAAAGCTCAGATTAAAACCTTCTGCTCAGATCAAAACTATCACTCTCCTTCTTGTCCCTGATGTCTGTTGTTTATTGTTTATTTTTGTGTACTGCCTTGTTTAATGGTTTGAGTTGCTGCTGTTGTTCTTCTCTGTTTTGCATTTGTAAAGTTACCATAGTTAAGAGAAAAGTACTGTATACATCACATACAAATATTTTGATTTAATATTATTATTTTTTTTTATTTTACCTTCTCCACTTCCCCTGGGCTTGTAGAGGCGCTGCTGACCTGCTGCTGGACGAGGGCTTTCTGTTATTTTTTAAGGGTGGGAAAAATAATTGGTTCTTGGATGCATCGCAGTTCTCTCTTGAAACATTTTGAGTTGATTCACAAAATGTCAATCAGATTTTTATACAGTCTTTGGGTCTCGAATCCAAAGTAAACAGAGTCAGAGACTGTATATTGTGTTTGTATATAAAATAAAAGGCTTGAAAACACATTAACACCACTGAATGACAGTTACAGGACAAATCATAATGTAGACTAATCGAGTCAAAAATTGAGATGCATGGAGAATCTTTTACAATCGTGGCACCTGAAATCAAATCATGAGGTGCCCACAGATTCCCACCTTAATTAAGTTTTATTTAGAAAGATTATATTGCAGGTTGCTTGTGGATGAGTGTACTGTGTTTAATGTTTATGCTAATCTGTTGTTTTGTTTGTTTTTCAGGGCAGTAGAGTTGTGGTGTCTGCGAGAACATATGCAGACTTCACCCCTCAGGCCAGCTTCGACATAAAGGTGAGAATTTAAAGGAACAGTTTGGTGAAATATCAAATTTATGCAATCTCACACTTAGACCAGATGTAGTCAGGCCAAGATATGTTAGTGTCAAAGTTTAATTTCTTACTTTAGTGCTGGAGCTACAAGCCCAATGCAGCTAACAGACACTAGGATTCAATAGTCACCCAAATTTTTTTCTGTAAGTACATCCATAAAACGCTCAGGGGTTGCAAAATGTTAAGAAGAGCCATTTTGTCCTTTCAACTAAAATCAAACCACGTTGGGAGCCACAACACTTTATGTACATTCTATTGAAATAGCATTTTACCATCTTGGCTGTAAATATAAATATAAACACAAACACAGACTTACTTTGCTCTGCTTTAAGCTTCAGCTCAACTATATCCACTTTTCTCGCATCTCCAGCAGGAAACTTTTCCTCAAAAGTAGAACAGTTTCTTGTAAAATGTCTCTCAACATTTGACTTTTTACGAGGCTGAAGTCGCTTCTGATTTGCAAGCTTCTTGTTTAAATTTTCCCGTTCCACCTTAAATGGTAACTGAGGCGCCATAATGTAACTGCTGCACCATTTAAGGTGGAACGGGAAAAACCTAACAACACCCTAGCAACACTATAGCGACCTCATTGTCTCTCTGTGTTACTTTTATTTACTTTCAAAGAAATGTGACCTGCATAAGCTGGAGGAAGGACCCCCGGTGCAGGCGGTCCTGACGCGAGAGGAGGGGCTTCAGTACTACCGCACCATGCAGACCATGAGGCGCATGGAGCTGAAGGCAGATCAGCTCTACAAACAGAAGATCATCAGAGGATTCTGTCACCTGTATGACGGACAGGTGAGAACAGATCACTGCGATCGTGTGTCCTTTTCTTTGATTTAAAGGCTCCGTATCATGAAACGCTGAATCTCCCTCACTTTTTAAAATAAAAGAAGTTTGATTTTAGTATGTTAATAATAATTACAGTTTCAAATCCTATCATTCGCCCCTCGGTACATGCAGTCCATAGTAGGGGTTGCATGGACTAGTCAGCTAGTCTTATTGACTTTACTGCTCGGCGGTGACACTTTAAGCTTGATGTCGACGAGTCACTGATCTTGTGATTATGGATGCCTCAGAGAAGACAGCAGGTGAGGAGGCTGGTGATTTCATGGTCTGTATCTCTGGTTTCCTAAAGCCTAGCAATGAGATCCAGGGCTCTTTGGAAAGAGCACACGCTCTACTGACCTGTGGATTTTGGCTTCGTTCTACCATTTCTCTGTTGTTCTACAGAGCTTCAAAGATCAGACATTGAACATCTTATCTCTGGTTTCCTAAAGACTACAGTTAAAAGTCCTGTGTGGTTGGAGAGGGAGCATAACTGTAATACTGTAGTACAGTTTGAAGTCGGATACACTTCTTTTGGTCAAGTTACGGCTCTCTAAGTTTCTCTGGCTCTCCGGACCTCCACCACAGACGAGCATCTTGGCAAGGCTGCCTAGGGTGTGCCTAAGTAGGATACAAATTTGCGATACTTTAGGGTCCGTATCTCGGTTCCCTGACGGCTAGCAATGTGATCCAGGGCTTGCTGGAAAGGGCACATCATGCTCTACTGACCTGTGGAGTTTGGCTTAGTCCTGGACTTTTAAAGCCGCTTGTTGTAGATCATTCCCTTCTCCTGTGATTTAATTCATGACATCATCAGCGATTAGTCAACATCGACTCGACTTTCATGACATAACTGTCGACTTTAAAAATCTGGATCGTACAACCTCTAATCCATAGATGTAAACTAAACTGACTACTTTGAATCCATTGTTTTTATGACCTCACAAAAACTAGTATCCATTCACGTTGAAGCTACGAAGACCATTTCTACCAAGACTGCTTTTTGAATGAGAACAGGGCTCATTTACGCATTTCAGTCTCAAAAGCACAGCCTGTTCAATTGCAAGGCATAAAGAGAGTTCGCAAAACCCAAGACCTTAATGGACAAACATAAATGACGAAAATTGAAGTATATGGTCTTCTTCACAGATACAGGTTGATTGTGTTTCCCTGTGTTATATCAGGAAGCGTGTGCAGTGGGTATTGAGTCTGGGATCAATCGGACTGATCACCTGATCACGGCGTACAGAGCGCACGGATACACTCTGACCAGAGGGGGCACCGTCCGCGAGATCATGGCTGAGCTCACAGGTCAGAAACCACATAAGCGAGGGACCCTGAACAGCTACACACGGTATGAGACGAGGGAGTGATGATACAGCCATGCAGTTAGCACCATGCTATTTGGTGGAGTATAAGCTGGCACGAATGCTTTGAATATTTGGGTATTTGTACGTTGATTAAAAATACACTTAAGGCTGCAAAGCATTACACACACTTTACGTCAGTGAGGATTAAAACACAATAAAACCCTAAAGCTGATTTCCTTTGTGGTCCTCTTCACATAAAACACACAAACAAATAAGCAGAAAACAGTACAATACACACCAAGATGACAGACAACAGGGTGGCTTTCCTGATTAAATCATTTGTTAGTTAGTCTTTAAACATAATAAAACACAATAAGAACTAAAACTCTGCTTGCTTGCATATAACATATAGGCATCCTTTTAAACCCGGTTAAAAAAATCTTTCAGATGGGCTGCATTTGACGTCTATAGGAAGTTTGTTCCAAAGCTAAATGCTGAATAATAATAATAATAATAATAATAATAATAATAATGATAATAATAATAATATTAAATCTACAACTAGTTTTTTTCAGTGTTTTACAAGCTGCACTAAATCTAATCAAACTGGTCTAATTATACTCACTTTATAATGAAACGTAGTCAATCAGTGTTTTTAATTATTGACAATAGGGCTGAAAGATTAATCACTTTATATCAAAATCAAATTTTTTTTAATTGCAAGAGCTGTTTTTATTATAGTCTTTTAGCCTGTAGAACCATGAACATTCAAAGAACGCTTTGCATGAATAAATAGTCCTTTGCATGGTGAAATGGTTCTTTAGATTGATGGAGAATGTGCTGTATTTGGTTCTGCATAGAACCTTGTTGAAAATGGTTCTATATAGCACCAGAAAGCGTTCTTCTATTATTAGTATGTCAAGCTTATAACAATTGAAGAGCCCTTTTTGGTGCTGAATAGAACCACATACAGCACATTCTCCATCAATCTGAAGAACTATTTCACCATGCAAAGAACCACTTAAGCATGCAATGGGTTCTTTGGGTGTTCATGGTTCTATATAGAACCATTGTCTTTACTAAAGTACCCTTAAAGAACCATTTTAAGTGTGATTGTTGATACATTGCACGTTTTAAGTAGGGAAATGTAACCTGATCACATGGAGCTTGTGAACTGCTTTTAGAGGAAATCGACAAATCAGAAGCAGCCAAACGTCCCTGTGCTGTGACATCACAACCGCAATTAACTGGCAGGCTGGTGCTCTGTGTAAGACTTTCATGCCTCCAGCCAAAAAAAGTATGCGCTGGTCTTCTCAGCCCAAAAAAAGGCCCCTTCATCAGTTTATAGAAAACATTCATAATTTAAATCAACGCAAAAATCACAATAAGATATTTTGGCAGAATCGTTCAGCCCTAACTGACAGTATCCACGATGTGCTCAGAAAAGCATATTGTGACGTAATTTATCACGATAACGATAAAATATCGTCATATTGCCCAGCCCGGCTTTCATCAGCGAAGACCTTAAAAATTGTCAGTAATGGTTAAAATCAGAAAGAATATTAAAAATAAATAACTCAAAGCTGGTTTATCTGCCTCAGGCTGCCCCTGCGTGTGTCTGATCAGAGTTTATTGTGTAATTTCTGATCCATCAGGCCGTCGTGGTGGCATCGCTAAAGGAAAGGGAGGCTCTATGCACATGTACGCCAAAAACTTCTACGGAGGAAACGGGATCGTTGGAGCTCAGGTGAGCCAAGGTTTCTTTCAGCTTTCTGTACGTCAGCATGTTTATCGTCTCGGGTCTGCTGACCGATTATGAAACCGATTTCCGATAACCGATGATATCAGCCGCTTCAAAGACTTGGATTTATTTAGATTAATATTTTATATGCTAATAGTTTAGCTAATCAGTGCTTTCCGGCTGATACGATTGTCAGTGTTTATGCTCCTTAAATCAAGTAAACAGCAGAAATGGACAGTCTAAAATATTATAAGTATTATAAATATTAAATATTGTATTGAGCTACCCAGAATTCTTTGTGTAGTAATGGTGTCCATTGGTTCCCTCATATTTTTATAATTTTTTCCTTTATCTTCAGAAACATTTCTGGGTGAATTTTCTAAACATTTTACGTTGTTTCGGTATTCATAATGATGTTTTGTCTTATTTTTGTGCGATAATTCAGGTAATTCAACTCAGATTATTAGCGAAAACATGGCTAACTATTAGCATGTTTTCAGAGATATTATCGCCTACATCGATAAAACTGCGGATCATTGATATCAATCCGATATAATCTGCCTACAAACATAAGTCAGGTCCCAGTATCTAATGCTTTTGTTTTGGCTCTCATGTTTTTAAACTACATTTCCCAGGTGCCTCTTGGAGCAGGTGTAGCACTTGCCTGCAAGTACCAGGGCAAAAACGAGCTGTGCGTCTGTCTCTATGGTGACGGAGCAGCCAATCAGGTGAGCCAGTCAGTTCTGTTCACTTCAGCTTTATTACGCAGCTTAATGATGCTCATTAGATTCACTGGTACATCTAATAAGCGCAGTTCATCACTCTCAACTTTCAATAATCGTCTTGGCCTTGAATATTCTTTCTTAAATATTCCAGCCTCTTTATCTGATTTCTTAATCAGATTTCTAGATAAGAGTGTGGTGTTTACATGACCACTTGAGTAATCGGATAACTGCAGAAATCCAATTATGATCAGATTATTGAGTGCATGTATGTGTACTCAGTGTTTATATTAAACCTCCAGCAAAATTTGACTGACACATAAAAAAAGAAGGTTTTTATTCACTTTACTGCTGGATCTGCATCCAGGGAACCTGGAACAGATGATCGGGCTTCGCAGCTCAGTTTAGCTTTCGCTTGGTGGTTAGTTTTCTCCAACACGAACACAGAGAGACCGAACACAGTTTAGTTAAAGCTGTGTGGGCGGGACAAACCACATCAGCCTTCTGATTGGTCAGGACGCTGCTTATGTATGCGTGACCCAAGATCAAGACCACTCGGTTTAATTACTCACAGAGAAAATATGGATTTAGGCTCCCTGAGGCCTGAAATAATATGCTAATAAACATGTATGGGGGGGAGTGACCTTTAGTTCTTAACAGTTTTGGTTTCTGTTATTTGTCTTTCTTATTTTGTATCAGTTCTTTTAATGTTTATGTTATAAAATATTAGTAATAATCATCATTATCATCGGCATTTTCGCCGAGTACCAATTAATATCAGCCTCGGTATCGGACGATATTAGTTGGTACTTAGTATATCAGTTGGGCTGTACTCAATAGTGTGTTCAATATTAGCTGATTAGTCTATTAGTTGATAGTATTAATTGATCTCTCTCTCTCTCTCTCTCTCTCTCTCTCTCTCTCTCTCTCTCTCTCTCTCTCTCTCTCTCTGCAGGGTCAGATATTTGAGACCTATAACATGGCGTCTCTGTGGAAGCTGCCCTGTATCTTCATCTGTGAGAATAACAGGTACGGGATGGGCACGTCTGTGGAGAGAGCAGCCGCCAGCACTGACTACTATAAACGTGGAGACTTTATACCAGGACTGAGGGTACGACACTCACCCTTTAACCACACTGTCACTTCTGGAGTTGGTCAGATTTTAATACAGTGTCAGAAACCACATCTATTGGTTTCTGACACTGTGTAACTCACTGTCATCTACAAACATGGACTAAAGTACGGACGCAGTTCAGTCTTCAAGATGCTGCTGCTGTTTTTAGCTCTGTGATGTACTTCACTCCATTTTTAAAGAAAATATGTCATACAGTGTATGTTTAGAGTGAGTGGAAAACAGTTTGGCAAGTTTTGAGTTTTGGTGCTTAATATGCACTAAATTCAGAGTAGATTACATACGGAATAATTCATAAATGCTGAACAATTCAAAGTCGATACTGAATAATTCATAGCAAATACTGAATAACTCACATGATACTGGATAATTCACGAGGGACTGAATAATTCACTTGATGCTGAATAATTCATAGTAGATACTGAATAATTAATAGTAGATACTGAATAATTTACATGAGATACTGAATAATTCATAGTAGATACTGAATAATTCACAGTAGATACTGAATATTTCACTTGATACTGAATAATTCATAACAGATACTGTATTATTTATATTAAATGCTGAATGATTCCGTCTGTTTTCAGGTGGACGGGATGGACGTCCTGTGTGTGAGAGAAGCCACCAAATTTGCCGCAGATCACTGCAGGTCTGGAAAGGTAAACTGGGATCTTGCACACCTGCTAATAATAACTAATCCAGCGCCTCCAGACGAACAGCATTTTATTATGCAGAACCAGTTTGAGGTGCTTCAGTTATGTGAGGTATTTGTTGATGCTTCATGTTGATATAATGTTATGAATGAATTGCAGGGCCCGATTCTCATGGAGCTCCAGACTTACCGTTACCATGGACACAGCATGAGTGACCCTGGCATCAGGTAACCACCATCATCATCATCATCATCATTATCTCTACTAAGGCTAATTTTCATTATCGTAACAGAGAAGAATCAGTGGGTGTTTTATAACTGAGGTCCCATTATAACATTTATTTACCAGAATTCTTTTTTAAAATCTCTCTTTATAGTTTTCTTTAATTAAACAGGCTGTTTTTGTTACTGTGGCTTTAAGACTGATATATGTAAATGAGCTTTGTTCTGATTAGCTGCTTTAAAATGTGTGTTTTGGAAGTCGTCAGCTTCACTATTTCCGTCTCAGAAACAGATTTTATGCATTTAAGTATGTATATAAAAAAAGTCGTTAAGGTTGTTATGAACACTCATTCGCTCAGGTGGGTCTGAACTGCAGACTGGAGCTGTAAATGTGGACAGCAGTGCTTTGAGGTTCTGATGTTTTTGTTACTGTTGCTGCTTTTGCCCTGACAATTCACTTAAACCCCCCCCAATGCACTTAAACCCCCCCCCCACACCTCCTGCCTTAGTGACAGTGCTCGACCTTTGCCCTCTTGACCCCGCTGTGTTTCCGTAGTTACCGCACGCGTGAGGAGATCCAGGAGGTGCGCAGTAAGAGTGACCCCATCTCCATGCTGAAGGACCGCATGCTCAACAACAACATGGCCAGCGTGGAGGAGCTGAAGGTGAGATTAGCCTGACGCTCGTCTTTCCTCTTCTCTCTTCTCTCAGTAATGAGTGTTAAAGTCATCAGTCCAGCTTTAGTTTCAGAGGCTTGAACTTTGAACACTTACTACTTCAGTGCACCAGGTGGCGCTGTGTGTCTTTAATTCTCCAGGTGTGAAAAGAAAATCTAGCCGTTCATTCACATCAACACAAACCAGCAGGACAGCTAGCAGAGTTAGCTAGAGTTAGCTGTTTTTATTAGCAGAGTTGGCTAACGTTAGCTATTTTCAGCTAGCAGAGTTAGCTAATAGTGGCTATTTTCAGTTAGCAGAGTTAACTAGTGTTAGCTGTATTTATTAGCAGAGTTGGCTAACGTTAGCTATTTTCAGTTAGCAGACTTAGCAAGTGTTAGCTGTTTTCAGTTAGCAGAGTTAGCGAGTGTTAGCTGTTTTCAGTTAGCAGAGTTAGCTAGTGTTAGCTCTTTTTATTAGCGGAGTTAGCTGATGTTAGCTATTTTCATATATATTCTTTTATATATTATTATTCTCTCTACATCTTTATACAAACAGTTCAGTGCAAAAGTTAGCACTCCCCTGGTCACACCTCCTCTACAGAGACGCCCTGCTGCACATTTTACTACACAGTTACTGTGTATTTGCTGAATTGAACACACTGGAGGAAAAATAAAACATAAAATGTAGCCTTGGCGAAAGTTATGGCACACATTTATGTTTTACAGTTGTCCAGTATGTTAAACTCAGCGACTAAATAGAATTTGTGCACTAAATTTAGCAGAAAAATGAGACAGCACAGCTTAGATTGACCAGGGCTGCACAGTCTTTTGCCTACGGCTGCGTGGTGGTCAGATTTCTGGCCGCTGGGAGATGAAGGTAAAGTTGAGGGTGTTGCTGAGTCTGACTCAGGTGTGTGTTTGTGCTGTTGTATGTTCTGCAGGAGATCGACGTCGAGGTGAGAAAGGAGATCGAAGATGCAGCTCAGTTTGCCACCACCGACCCTGAACCCCCTCTGGAGGATCTGTGCAACCACATCTTCTACAACGAGCCTCCCATGGAGGTGCGGGGCACGAATCCCTGGGCTAAACTGAAGTCCGTCAGCTAAAGACCTAAAAATATACCTCCTACAGACACCCCTTCTACCCCCCCTGACCCCCAGAACACCCCCATAGACTTTCTCTTAACCCCCCAAACCCACCAACTAACCTCTCCTTCAGAGAGATACTTCATGCAAAGATGCTAATAAATAACAGAAAAAATACCACATTACTGTTTATTGGGATTTAAATTGGACAATATATTAAAACATTTGGAGAACCCTTTATCTGACAGGGTCAGTGATTATTTGGTTTACCTTTGTTGGATCTATAGAACCACAGAAGCTCATGTGGAACATCTGTGATTGGCTGGAGGCTCATTTGCATATTGCAGCCTTCAGGTAAAGCATTGCACCATCGATTAGCAGACAGTACACTATGCAGCGCTGCTAATAATGATACTACACCTTAAAAAGATGGTTCTTCAAGGGTTCTTTAGTAAAGAAAATGGTTCTACATAGATCTATGAACACTCAAAGAACCCTTGAGTGATTAAAGGGATCCTTTGCATGGTGAAATAGTTCAGTTTATTGGGGAATGCGCTGTAGATGGTTCTATATAGCACCAGAAAGGGTTCTTCTATTTTTACGATGTGATGCTTGTTACAATAGAGGAACCCATTCTGGTCCTAGATACACCCATTTTCAAAAAGGTTCTATATAGAACCATCTACAGCATGTCTCTATCCATCTAAAGAACACTTTCACCATGCAAAGAACCCTTTAATCATGCAGAGGGTTCTTTGAGTGTTCATGGCTCTATATAGAACCATTTTCTTTGCTAAAGAACCTCTGAAGAACCATCTTTTTTAAGTGTGTAGCAGTTAGCATGCTAACTGATTCCTTTCATTCAAATTCAGCCACGTTAGCATTTTTGTAGTGAAGTATTTCCTTCACCACAGCCGTGCCGCTCGGCCCACGTTGGTGGCCGAAGGGTCAAATAAAGACTTTAGTCTCCAAAAACTGCCCTTTGATCTCCTCAGCGGAACGTCTCCCCGTTTAAACATGTTCCTCATGCCTTTTCACCAAGTGTGCTTCATGACCCGCCTTCAGTTCTGTCTCTCCTCACCTTCTTATTGTGATGTGTACAATCGGCCGACGAGGCTCCGCCCACCAACGTTTTCCTTCGTAGCTACTGTTTGCGAGATTAGCGTGGTTATGAGCCGTTAGCATGGTGGCTAATTCATCGTTGCCTGGTTGTTGTTGAGCTACGACACCAGAACAGTCCAACTCATGAACAGTGTAGCTGCCCAAGAGTGCGTTTACATGCACTTAATAATCCAATAACTGCAGAAAATCTGATTTTTTCAGTAATCTGATTAACACCGTTACATGTACTTGAGTAATCAGACAATGGGGAAACTCCAGGTCTACATCAATCAGACAGTAATCAGATTTCTGCTTTACAACAAGCCAATAAACTCACAGAAGAAGACGCGACGTAAACGTTTTTTTTTTAAACATCGAGCTGCTTTACCTGAAAATATGAACATAAATCATCTAGAAGACGAAGAATATTTAAATCCTTCATTTCGTCGAGGGTATTTGGTTTCAGTGTCGCTCCAAAAGAGTTTTGCTGCGTCCCGCGGCGATGCTGCTCGCTTATTTCCGGTACCGCCGTCTGTTTTCCTACATGCTCAGGCTGAGAAATCCGAAAGAAATCAGAGTAACAGGTTACAGCACTGAGAAATCTGATTACTGAGCTAAAATGCAGCCTCTTTATCAGATATCTCAATCGGATTTCTAGATCAGAGTATGGTGTTTACATGACCATTTGAATAATCTGATGACTGCAGATATCTGATTATGACCGGATTATTGAGTGCATGTAAACACACTCAGTATTCTGATGCTACGCTAACGAGCTAATTGAAGCTATGCTCATTGGAAAAAGTTAGCCGCCATGCTAACGTTAGCTTCATTACGCAGCAGACAAAAACGCCTTTCACAACCGCACAAAATAAACGAATAATTCACTGTGAATTTAGATATTTTAACAATAACCTAGCGACAGTAGCTATGCAAAAACACATTTGTGGGCGGGGCCTGGAGAGTTGTTTTGTTTTGCATGTTGTCTCTATTAAATAAGAGCCTAAAAGGGTTTTGAACCCAGTAATATTCATTTACCCCGTCGTCACGGTCTCTCGTTAAAAGAGTCGAACGACAGCAGATACTGTTTTTGATCAATTTGATTGAACCTTAGTTCTGAAACTCTCTCCGGGTGTGAATAGCGATGTACCAGTAGGTAATAATGTATCTGCTATTGGAAGTATGATGGAGTGATTGATTATTTATATGAATATTTAAAAAGGGATTTCATTTAAATCTGATACATTGCCAACAAACTTGTTGCCTATTAGACTGAATAAGTTACTGGGTGCATTTCTATAGATTTAAACACTAGGCTGGGTGGGAATTTTCTTTTTCAAGCGCACAGAACTCTGGGAAATGTAGTTTTGGTACAGTTAATCTGTGTATGCCCTGTTTCTCTCTCTCTCTCTCTCTCTCTCTTTTTCATAACTTTTTGTTTTTTAAGTGCTTTTATCTCAGAAAACTGAATGAATTTTGCCAAATCTGCAGTAAAGCTGTCGACTCTGTCTTTGGAGGAGGATGTTGGAGTGGAAATTTAAAACATGCTGGCAGTGAATGGGGTACAGGGGTCAAAAGGTCATGACCAGCATGTTGACCAGGTGGTCTTTATACAGTACAATTAAAATGATAAAAATACAGCCATGTGTTTACAGTCTCTGGCCTCTTATTTATCGCCGTTGTTTTCTTTTCTAGAACATGTTCTAGAGCTCAGTTGTAGAAGTGTGTAAGTTGCATAGATTTAGTGCTGTTATAAAGTCTGAGACCCCCTTCATCCATATCATTTCCAGTCAAAAATGATCAGTAAGTGTAAGTTGTTCATTTGTCAGCTTCAGGAAAGCATATACCTTAAGGGGAACACCACCATTTTTTTTTCAAAATTTCATTAAACAAATGCATAACTCCGTGTGTGAGATGTAAACAGAGAGATTCAGTGGTGGTGATAAGAACCAGCGGTCGCCATGACTGCAACACAAATATAGACATTTTTTTTACTATCCAGAACCACCAGTGAACCTACACGAGTCTTCTGAGTTTATATGGAATGTTGATGATGGAAAATAGTGGAAAATCTGAAATAATAAGTTTTCTTTGGGGACTATTTTGCCTCACAGCGCCCTGCATGTATCCCTCCACCATGAATGGAGTTTAAGTTCTCTAAACTATCATAAAACAGTGTCTCAGTCATCAGGCAGTGAATTCATAACCATTTCATGTAGGAACTTTCTGTGAGGGAGCTTTTAGAGGTGGACGTCTGGTTCCTATCACCACCACTGTGAACAGTTCTGACTCGGTAAGTTTCTCTAGAACGGAGCGTTTCACACTAAACCACTCGTAAGTGTGAGTGTGTATGTGTGTGTATATGTGTGAGTGTGTGTGTGTGTGTGTGTGCAGTTTCAGATCAGTCTGAGTGACTCTAGGAAACACAGGAATAAAGAACACGATAAACAGAATCAGTGACTCTCTCTCTCTCTCTCTCTCTCTCTCTCTCTCTCTATCTATCTATCTCTCTCCCTATCTCACTACCTCTCTCTCACTACCTCTCTCTACCTCTCTCACTACCTCTCTCTCTACCTGTGTGTGTGTGCGTTCGTGCGCGCGCTCTCTCAGCGGGGTGATTTTACTCTTTAGTCTGATTTACAGTTTCCCTACCTGAGTTTCAGCCATCGGAGCGCGACTGACCAATCACAGCGCGGCATTCCGCTCAGAGTTACGACTTCGTGACGTGTAACGCTGTACTGTTTTTCTGTTTTCCCCACCCGTTTTCCGGCAAGTCACGCCCATCCGGCGCTCTGATTGGCTGGTACCACATACTGACAGGCAGCTCTGCTTTCAGTCACTCTGAGTAATAATAATAATAATAATAATAATAATTATTATTATTATTATTATTATTATTATAGTTCTCAGGAAATACATTTATCTGTCACTTGAAAATATACTATTTACTCTAAAGGTATAGACTGAGGTTTTGGGCTCTACCCTAAAAATTTTAGACTAAAACCTCAGACTCTACCCTAGACACTACAACACAACACTACACAACACAACACTGCACAGCACTGCACAGCACTACACAACACTACACATTACTATAGAACCCTGCACAACACTTTACAACACTGCACAACACAACACTACACAACACAACACTGCACAGCACTGCACAGCACTACACAACACTACACATTACTACACAACACTGCACAACACTTTACAACACTGCACAACACAACACTACTAACACTACACCATAACACTATACTATACTACACAACACTACACATTACTATACAACACTACACATTACTATACAACACTATACAACACTGTACAACACTACACAACACTATAAAACACTATTCAACACTATACAACACTATTCAACACCTCACAACACCACACAACACTATTCGACACTATTCAACAACTATGCAATACTACATAACACTATACAACACTATAAAACACAATTTAACACTATACAACACTATAAAACACTATACAACACTGCACAACACTACACACTGCACAACACTACACAGCACAACACTATTCAACACTGTACAACACTGCACAGCAGTGCACAACACTGTACAACACTATACAACACAACACTGCACAACACTGTACAACACTACACAGCAAAACACTATACAACACTGCACAGCACTGCACAGCACTACACAACACTACACAACTGTTCAACACTACAAATTACTATACAACACTGCACAACACTACACAACACTGCACAACACTTTACAACACTGCACAACACAACACTGCACTGCACAACACTACTCAACACTACACCATAACACTATACTTTATTACACAACACTACACATTACTATACAACACTATACAACACTGTACAACACTACACAAGACTATAAAACACTATACAACACTATAAAACACTATTTAACACTATACAACACTATAAAACACTATACAACACTATTCAACAATACACAACACTGTTCAACACTACACAACACTACACAGCACAACACTATACACTATTTAACACTATACAACACTATTCAACAATACACAACACAATTCAACACTATTCAACACTACACAACACTACACTACACAATTCAACACTGTACAACACTGCACAGCACTGCACAACACTACACAGCACAACACTATACAACACTATAAAACACTATTTAACACTATACAACACTATTCAACAATACACAACACTGTTCAACACTACACAACACTACACATTACTATACAACACTATAAAACACTATTTGACACTATACAACACTATTCAACAATACACAACACTGCATAACACTATACAACACTATTCAACAATACACAACACTGCACAACACTACACAACACAACACTGCACAACACTACACTACACAATTCAACACTGTACAACACTGCACAGCACTGCACAACACTACACAGCACAACACTACAACACTGCACAGCACTGCACAACACTACACAACACTACACAACTGTTCAACACAACACTACACATTACTATACAACACTGCACAATACAACGCAATACAATACTGCACTGCACAACACTACTCAACACTACACAACACTGCATAACACTATACTATACTACACAACACTACACATTACTATACAACACTGTACAACACTACACAACACTATAAAACACTATTCAACACTATACAACACTATTCAACACCACACAACACTATTCGACACTATTCAACAACTATATGACACTACACAACACTATACAACACCACACAACACTATACAACACTATTCAACACTGTACAACACTATACAACACTATTCGACACTACATAACACTGCACAACACTTTACAACACTACACAACACTACACGACACAACACTATACAACACTACACAACACTGCTCAACACTATACGACACTACACAACACTATATGACACTACACAACACTATACGACACTACACAATACTACACATTACTATACAACACTATATGACACTACACAACACTGCACAACACTATATGACACTACACAACACTGCACAACACTATATGACACTACACAACACTACACAACACTATAGAATTTCCAAACGCCTGAAAGAGACTCACAGAACTGGCAGCAGTTGTGAGCTGTGTAATAATATCTGTACATGATTTTTTTTATTATTTATTGATCTTATTGATCTGATTCGACTCTCTAATTGATTCAGTTCTGAGTTCTGACTCCTGCCCTGTGATGGACTGGCGGCCTGTCCAGGGTGTTTCCTGCCTTCCGCCCATTGACCGCTGGGATGCTCCAGTGCCACCCCCACCCCCCCACCCCCCCGCGACCCAGAAGGATAAGCGGCTCAGGAAACGTGTGCGAGTGTGAGTTCTGACTTTCAAGCGTTCTAGAACTGCGGAATGCTTTGATGTTTGCGCCGCCGGCCAATCAGAGCGCAGGAGCGGGGCGGAGCTTGCCGCAAAACGGGTGGGAAACCAAGCCTGAGTGACGGACAGGTAAACGCAGGAGGCGCCATGTTGAGTGAAAACGGAAGCGAGTGATTGTGCAGTTTAAAGAAAAAGGCTGTGGTCAGTTCAGCGACACTTTATGAAAACACAGAACCGAGTCTGGGTTTGAGGAGCTGAGCGTCCGAGCGCGGCCGAGCGGTTCAGTGGTCAGTCCAGGCTGGTGTGAAGGCTCTCCTCTCCGCGGGACTCTTTTATTCGGTTCAGTGTGGGAAACATGCCTCTGGCTCAGTTTGCAGATCCGTGGCAGAAGCTGCCCGTCGGTCATCTGGAGAACGAGGTAAACATGGTTCTGACACTCTGTGGTTCTGACACTCTGTGGTTCTGACACTCCGGCTGCACGCTTAGCTTCCCGAACACGATCAGAAACGCAGAGCAATCTGAGAAGCTCACTGTGAGCTGCAGACAGACCCGCTCAGCGTTTATATCCCCCAGTAGTAAAACCATTAAAACCAGTTAAACTGCTGTCAGCGCTGCTGGGTTTGAGCTGAGTGTGTTTACACTGGAGTCAACAGCCTCTCGCTTTCAGACTGAGGACCTCGGTGCAAAACTTTTAGGATAAAAGTCTAAAACTTTAGACTAAGTCCTTGAGAGTCAAAGTCCAGAACCTTAGACTGTGTCCTTTAGGGTAAAAGTCCTTTAGGTTAAAAGTTTCAAACTTTATACTAAGTCTAAAATCTTAGACTAAGGCTTTTAGCGTCAGAGTTTTTTTTTCAGACTTAGTCCTTTAGAGTAAAAGTCTAAAACCTTAGACTGAGTCCTTTAAGGTAAAAGTCTAAAATCTTGGACTAAGCCCTTAAGGTTAAAAGTCTAAATCTTTATGCTAAGTCCTTTAGGCTAAAAGTCTAAAACCTTAGACTAAGTTCTTTAGAGTAAAAGTCTAAAACCTTAGACCAAGTCCTTTAGAGAAAAAGTCTAAAACCTTAGACCAAGTCCTGTAGGGTAAAATTCTAAAACCTTAAACTAAGTTCTTTAGGGTAAAAGTCTAAAACCTTAGACCAAGTCCTGTTGGGTAAAATTCTAAAACCTTAAACTAAGTTCTTTAGGGTAAAAGTCTAAAACCTTAGACCAAGTCCTGTAGGGTAAAAGTCTAAAACCTTAGGCCAAATCCTGTAGGGTAAAAGTCTAAAACCTTAGGCCAAGTCCTTTAGAGTAAAACTCTAAAACCTTAGACCAAGTCCTTTAGAGTAAAAGTCTAAAACCTTAAACTAAGTCAGTTACAGTAAGTATAGCGTTATACTAAAGCCTTTAGGGCCAAAAAGTCTGAAAGCTTAGACTAAGTCCTTTAGGGCAAAACGTATTAGACTAATACCTCTGTAGTAAAAGTCTAAATCCTTTAGACTAAGTTAGACTAATACTTCTGTAGCAAGAGTCTGAGTCCTTTAGTCTGAGTCCTTTAGTCTGAGTCCTTTAGTCCGAATCCTGTGCGGATCGGTATGAGTCGTGTTGCTGTTGAGGAGCAGAGGCTCGTCCGTTTGTCTGGACGTGACCAGACAGGCCCAGCGCTGCAGCTCAGACTCTGCAGAGACTTCCCAGGAACATTCCCACTTTTCCTAAGTGGTCATGTAAATATTATGGGATGGAATGAGGTTCTTGAGAGCTGATCTAAGTTTAAGCTGAGCTCTGAGTCTCTGGGCGCCTGTTCTGCTCTTTAGGAACGCAGTACGTTTGTTTTTCCGCCTACTTAAGAAGTGAAAGTGATAAGATTGAAAATGTAGTTTGTTTAATCAGCACAGCAGTGGTTTCCCTTACTGCTCCAGCTTTACCCCCCAGTTTACCCCCCAGTTTACCCCCCAGTTTACCCCCCAGTTTACCCCCCAGTCCTGCTCGTCTTACTGCTGTAACACCTTCATTTCACCTCCATTAAGCTTTAAAGTGATACTTCAGCAGAAACATCAGTTTGAGCTTCCATTACTTCTTAGCTACATTAGCCTCGTAGCTCCAGTTATAAAACTAAAGAAGACCAAACATGGCTTGACTGATCGACTACATTTGGGGGAATTTCAGAAAATGTTGTTTCCCACTGAGCTGTCGCGTTAAAGGGGGCCTATTTTGCTTATTTTCTATTCATAATTTTATATTTGGTTGATTTAGAATAGATTTACAGTATCAATGATCCCAAAACACATTATTTTCCTCATACTGTTCATCTCTATTCACCCTCTGTCTGAAACGCTCTGCTAGAGCTCCTGTGTCTTTAAGCCCCGCCTCCCGATGCGCCCAGCGTGCTCTGATTGGTCAGCTCGCCCACTCTGTTCTGATCTGTCAGCCTCCAGAGCGGTTCAGCCCCTCCAGGTTCCGCCCCGTCCTGCAGTCTGCAGACAGACCCTTCTCTCCTGAGCAGCTGTGGCTGTTTCTCCAGCGGCTCCTAACTTCATAATCTCATCATTAACTCCAGAAAACAGCATCACACAAACATCCTAACTAGACTGAACCTCCTAAATCCTGTCCTAACTTTAGGATGAACCCCAACAGGGTCCTCACTTCTGTTTAAGGTCCGTTTCTATGGTTTTTAGGCAGCTGAGTCAGCAGCATAGTTCACTACCAGCATAATGAGCTCCATTTATTCCTACTGTAAAACGCTGCTTTCACTGTGAGATGATTTTCTTTTCTAACTCTTTTTTTGATGTTTGGTCAGTTGGAACAGACGATTTAGAACTTGGAGTGCCGCATATACGATTAAAATACTACAACTTCAAATACTAAAATACTACTAATAACAAACCTGCATTTACAGTGATTTTTGTAAAGTATTTTATAAAACACACTGCACTAAATCCAATTAACCTGGCCTAATGATGCTCTCTTTGTAATGAAATGTGTAGTTAGTGTTCTTTAAGTACAATAATCACGATAATGATAAAATATCGTTGTATTGCCCACCCTTAGTTATAGGTCAGGGGTGTCAGACCAAACCACTAAAAGGACCATATTAAAAAAATCGCTGTAAATCTGTAACCAGCTGTGTTTTTATTTCATAATAACTGAACACTTTGCCTTGACCTGAACTGGCCATTGTTTGTTTGTTCAAAATATGCCAAAACTTCAAGAGCAAAATAGACATGAAATATTTATTTATAAATGATTATAAATAAAATAAACTGTTTTAGGTAGGTTTTTAAAAACTGCCCCTTTGCTTGATCTGGACACCAGGCGTCTGTTCTTTTTGTGTAACCGCTGGCCCACAGGTTGTTGTTGGGGGCACACTATGGCTACGTTCACACAGCAGGTAAAAGTGGCCCAAATCCGATCTTTATCCTCATGTGTGACACAGATGTGTGTCTGTGTGTCAGTGTGAACAGATGACCACACTGAATCAGACATTTTCAGTTCTGATTTGAGACGCTTTCATATGTGGTACAGAAATCCAATACGTATCCGATCTGTGGCAGTGCGACTCAGTCTGAACAGCCAGATCGGAATTCATGCGACTTTTGCGTCAATCCAACTCCACACTCGTCATAATTTCACGCTGAGACTCAGAAACATTTAGTCTGATGTTTCTGTACCAAAAAAATTAGAAGAGACTCTTCAAACCGCTCAGTGTTTGAAGAGGTTTAGAACGACATTGCCGAACGCAGCTGGAGGAGAACGAGGCTGCAGCGTCAGAGAACAGTTTAAAGAATCCAAGAACACGAACCAGAGAACTGACCGCGCCCTTTTTACGGCTGAAACACATTCTGGGTGATGAGCCCAGCGGTCAGTCAGTGAAGCTTCATGATGGCTCCTGTGATGCTGGTGAAGATGAAGCTGATCCTCCGGGAGCGACTGGCGCTCGTTGGCAGTCGTGATTGTTTACCTCTGGATGAGCCGTGAAGCAGCGTGACGCTCTGTTCTTCTGCTCTGTGGGTCAGTTTAGGAGCTGATCTGTTCAGACTGATGATACAGATCACATTTAAAAGATAATCTGAACAGCCAAACAAAAAAATCAGATTTGGTGGGAAAATCAGATTTGGGCCACTTTCACCTGCTGTGTAAACGTAGTCTATGCTGCAGTGCATGCTGGGGACTATAGTGCATCTCAGGGTAAATTGGGCTAGTAGGAATAGAAAATTACGATCATTTTGCGGGCCGAATAGGACTGTGTCATGGGCCTGGTCTGGCCCGTGGGCCTCGTGATTGACAAATGGGTTGTAAGTGGTCCTTTTAGAAATAAAAGGTAAATAAAATTTAGGATACCGGCTCTTTAACTAGCTGTTACAGGAGCCGTGCAGGAAAACTGCTGTACTTACACTTAAAGCAGGTGAAGTGTCGCTTTAAGGTCGCCCCCATGTCCCGCTGTTCCAGACCGGAGTCTGCCTTTAATCCTTAGCTTCGACAACAACCGTCCGACACAGACGGGGGGGCGTTTGCTCAGTTACTCTCATCTGCTTGTGTTTAGGTGTATAAATAATCAGTACAGTCTGGAGGGTCAGATTCTGTTTACATTAAGGCTGATTTATTGCAGATTTATGCTCGAAAATAGCACAATACTTTTATTTTAACCAGGATGTGACCTCATACTTTATTAAACGTTATCATAATCAGCTATAACGTCCTAAAATTGGCCACCTTTTGCACCAGTTTCTCAAAATCTCAGCATAATTGAGTGTCTGAGGTGTAAACAGAGAGATTCAGAGTGGTTTGGTGTGAAATGGTTCAGATGTCTTTACAGTGGTGGTGATAGGAACCAGGGGTCGCCATGACTACAACACAAATATAGACATTTTATTTACTATCCAGAACCACCAGTGAACCTACACGAGTCTTCTGAGTTTATATGGAATGTTGATGATGAAAATAGTGGAAAATCTGAAATTATAAGTTTTCTTTGGGGACTATTTTGCCTCACAGCGCCCTGCATGTATCCCTCCACCATGAATGGAGTTTAAGTTCTCTAAACTATCATAAAACAGTGTCTCAGTCATCAGGCAGTGAATTCATAACCATTTCATGTAGGAACTTTCTGTGAGGGAGCTTTTAGAGGTGGACGTCTGGTTCCTATCACCACCACTGTGAACAGTTCTAACTCAGTAAGTTTCTCTAGAACGGAGCGTTTCACACCAAACCGCTCTGAACTGAAGTCTTGCGCAGTTGGTCAGTTTACTGTTGTGGTTCATCTGATCTGTGTTGAACCAAAATAGCACAGCATAGTGACACACGGCTCACTGTGATAAACAGCCGGTCAGCTTTTACTGTAGATGCAGAGCTTTAATAGAGTCGTCTTATTTAAATTGTCAATGTCCAAAGACAAACATGTATCTCCATTTTTTATTTTTATTTCCATTTTTTGACATAATTTGAGCGCAGCAGCTGCCCTCTACATTGTGTGACCGTTTCATCATGAACGGACCAACAGAAATGCTCCAGAACTGCTTGGAATACAGTCTTTTTGCATTAACTTACATTAGAAGTGAAGAACGTTCCCGCGCTCTACTGTAAACCATTTTGGAGATACTAGTTTGTATTTTTTGGACGGTGACGAAACACGAAACTGACTTTTCAGCTCTGAATTTAAAATGCCATTTTGACCCCGACTGTTTTTATAGCCTGCACTGTTAAAAAAGATGGTTCTTTAAGGGTTCTTTAGTAAAGAAAATGATTCCCTACAGAACCGTGAACACTCAAAGATCCCTCGGCACGATTAAATGGTTCTCTGCATGGTGAAATGGTTCTTCAGACTGATGGAGGGTGTGTTGTATATGGTTCCATATAGCACCCAAAAGGGTTCTTCTGTTGTTATGATGTCAAGCTTGTAACAATAGAGAAACCCTTTTCAAAAAGGTTCTGTATGGAATGATCTACAACACGTTCTCCATCAGTCTGAACAGCTATTTCATCATGCAAAGAACCCTTTAATCATGCAGAGGGCTCTTTGAGTGTTCATTGTTCTATATAGAACCATTTTCCTTACTAAAGAACCCTTGACAAACCGTGTAAAGTCTAAGGATGCTAATAAAATGCTGATTTTTTTTATTGGCCTCTTCTAAAAGTCCTCGCACTGTGTGGACCAAACGAACACATGAATCACATTTCCAGCATTATTTCTCAGGTTATTTTCATTAGAAACATTATTTAAACTGGCTTTTTTGGATTTTGAGTTTAGATAAATGACTAAAGAAGCTCCATGTGCAGTCAGAGCTGTAATGAGATCAAAGCTTTGGTTGCTGCTCCTTTGCATTTTGCCTCATTTACAAAAGCATTTATATCAGTTTCGCTCTCAAAGTGTGAAATATTCTAACGCAGCACCTGCTCCCGTTTACCAAGACTAACACTGTCTAACGGCTGAAGAAAATCAGCTGATTTTTTTTTCTGCTTACACAGCGACACCGTTTGTGTTTTTCAGACACTTTTATTTATTTATTTCGATGGAAAAAACACCTGCTTTGTCTTAAAATCCTGATTTGATGAAGAATATAAAAAAGTAGCTGCTATTTCCTAATGTCTCCTAATGTTTTGGGTAGATCTCACAACACTAGGGCTGGGCGATATATCGTATTTTTATCGTTATTGCGATATGAGTTTCTATGATAAACACAGAACCGATCCATCCAGAACTACAGCCTGTAAAAACACATCAGATATTAATAATGGTCTCACGCCCAGTGTTGTGTTTTAAGTGTGTCAGGCGGTAATGGTTACTGTCATATTTAATAACTACTACTGTGATATTTAATAGCTAAACTAAGTAACTAAATAAATAAATAAAATTTAAAAATTATTTTAAATAAATATAACGTTTAAAAATATAAAGTCAATAATAATCACTTATTCTGTCCAATATCTGACATATTATTTTGAAATAATATCTCAGAGCAGTTATATACAAACATTTTTTTTGGCTTTGGCGTTGTTTTACACTCCTGTGCCAAAAATAATGGGTCAATTTCAGTGCTGCGTGGGTTCTCACGCTGACCTGCTGCGGCTGTGTGTTTAACTCTTGCTCATTTACTGACTAATGATTTGTTGTTAATGTTTTGTCATTCTGGGCTTTTACACGGGGTGAAAATCCTGGGAAAGTCATTATTTTGACCTAATGAGTCAGTTTGAACCTGAAACAGATGGTAATGAAATATGTGCACTTTACAGTGTTCAGTGCAGATACTTTCTTTAACTTACTGCAGTTTACATACTGTATAAATACACTTACATTTATATTAACTGCAACTCTTTCAGCTGTACCTACTGCTCAGTACTGTTCTCTCTCATTACATATCCTTTGTTACTCACAGATTGTTTGTGTAGTGTCTATTTATGTGTATGTATACGTACAGCATATCTTTTTCTATATTTGTTCTATCAGATTTTGTTTCATGTTGACGCCTGCACCAAAATAACTTCCTTGTACGTCTGGTACTCGGCAAATAAAGATTCTGATCCTGATTCTGATTAAAAACTCTTTTTTTCCTCCTACGTGGAAACAGGCTTTCATGCAAAAGCATGTGAGTCAAGCACATATTAATATTGCGCTGCACATGTGATGAATATGAAGTTGTGTTTGTGCTGGATAACTCGCTAAACTGGCCTCTACCAGTGCAAAACATCAATAGATTGCAGGTAATTAGCACCTCTCTTAGTAAATCCACTTCAGAGTATAAAAGCATGAGATCCAGAATACAAAGCCGGTTCAGTTTCTTCCCCCCATCAGGCTGCTGAACAGCCAGTAGTGCTGGAGTATCGGTCTATAGGCCTGTCACTGCACATCATGATCATCATCATCATGATGATCTCCATGAACAATCCACACCTCAACCACACCAACAGACTCTGATCTTACAGCACCTTCAATAAAGCAAATCTATACTCACACATATAAACTGACATCTTGTACACCTTCTATCCATATCCTGTATAATCTGGAAGATTTCTATATCAGTAATCTATCTCCTGTGAACCTGCATCTCATTTATTATCTACCTCAGACTCACTAACTCACATACGGAAATGTGTACAACAGTACATATCATAGTTTCATAACTTATTACTGTACAACTGTACATTGGAAATGGTGCAGTACTAGTGTATATTGTGTATATGTGTATATATTTAGAGTCACTGTATATATATTTCTTTTTTCTTCTTATGTACATATTTTTTTGTATTTAAATTCTTTAAGGGGGCTACACACCTAAGATTTCCACTCACCTTGCACCTGTGTAAATGTGATGTGACAATAAATGTGATTTGATTTGAGTGTTTTGAGCAAAAATCTGCCGATTCTGATTTTGTCTATCGCTAATAATCCAGCAACCGTTGCTGAGTAATTGCTGTTCTTCTCCTGGTTTTATGATGAATTAAGGCTGGGCGATGTAGCCGCTCTTCCACTGCGTGGTACCGGCTCGGCTCGACTTGACTCTACTCGCCTGTTTTGGTTCTCCGTTAGACAAACCTGGTACCTGGTGCTGTTTTTTGTATCGTGTCAGTCCAGGTTCCAAGCTGATGGCAAAAGTTAACGTGGAAAAACTGCAGACTGCTGATTGGTCGGAGAGAATTGACGCCATCGCCCTAAGCACATATGCTAATGTTAGCGTAGCCTCTTGCGTCACCCTTGAGCACCAGAATTGTGTCGTCATCTGAACTCAGACTGCTGCGTTGGGGGGCGCTATAACTGCAGTGGAAATTGAGTTGAGTTGTAGCTGGAAACAAAAGCGAGTAGAGTCGAGTCGAGTTGAGCCGTACCGTGCAGGGGAAAACGCCATATGACAGTATTCATTACTACTGTGATGAATTACATCACAATAAATCACAATATTCTTTCAGCAAATCGTGGATATCATCAGTACATCATAACACTTCCCAACTGCATGTTTGATTCAAAAAGAGTAAAATTAGTCCCATTTAATTGGATTTAGTACAACACAGTGTGAGAAATGTTGAATAAAAATTATTGTATTCATTGTTTTGACAGTATTTTTTAAAATGTGGCTCTACTTTTGCCAAAAAGCAGAAATATCATGACACATCTTGTATTGTGAAAAGTTCTTATAGTATCTCAATATTACATTTTTGTCATGTCACCCAGCCCTGTTGTGAAATGTTGTGTTTAAACAGTGATAAAAGAGCCCCTGAAAATAGTCTGAGACGGTCCTGTTTGGTTTAAAGGGTTAACAAAAGACAAAGTTTCTGAAACTAAATGAGGAAGTCAATGGCAACACAAACTAATCCTCGAGTGTTCGAATTGTTCAGACCAGCCACAGAAACCACATTAACAAGTCTGCAGCTGTAACTGTGGACTTTAAGTGCAACTGTAGGATTTTTTACATTGATTTTTGATTTTTTGCTGAAGTATCGCTTTAAAAGAAGTGCTCAGTTGTCACCTTTATCTTGTGGGGAAGCTCACACACTTGCTGAGTTCCAGACATTCCAGTATCCTCAGGAACGCCCGCTCTGTGTTGGGGGGAGGTTTTGGGAGACGGGGGTTAATGTGGTTTGCAGTAACATGTCTGTTCTTGTTGTGTTTTTCAGGATGACTCTATGGGAGATGATGACGCTCCAGTGAGTGTAAGTGTTCCCACACGCTGCCTTCATTAATGCACTGAAATGAACATTTGCAGTCGGTTAATTTAGTGGGATAAAAACTAAATTTGAAATGAATTGAAAGGTGCTATAGACTGGATTTACATTGTATTTACATTGGCATAGTTGAATGAGGAGAGTTCATTATGTGGACCTGACACACCATGAACCTCAAACACTGCTGTCTCCTCTTTCTAATCAAAACCCGCATTTCCAAAACAGGATGGACAACGCGCCGCTTCCAGAATCCTAAACTGTAACAGTCTTGACTCGTTAATGTTTACGCCTCCAAAATTTACACCCACCAGCCCACATTCCAACCAGCGGAGCAACAACAACAGAGCAGCAGCAATTAAAATGACAGACCGTTTGCAGAAATCTAGCGTTCCGGTAATGAAAATGGCGGACAGCGTGCGGAAATGTAGCGTTCCGGTAATGAAAATGCCGGACAGCGTGCGGAATTTTACGTTCCGGTAATGAAAATGCCGGACAGCGTGCGGAATTTTACGTTCCGGTAATGAAAATGGCGGGCAGCGTGCGGAAATGTAGCGTTCCGGTAATGAAAATGGCAGACAGTGTGCGGAATTTTAGCGTTCCGGTAATGAAAATGGCAGACAGCGTGTGGCTTTAATATTAAAGCTAGGGATGCATCAATGCGCTCATTTGAGGAGGCTCTTCTTCAGATATTACTGCGCACTGTTTGGAATCACTCTTTCATTCTCTACTGTCGTAGATGAACTTTTATTTTGAAGCTGTGAAGTGATTGACAGGCCTGTGGATCAGACGGCAGGCAGTCGGGTCTCTGTAGAAGAGGGCGGGGCTGTGGGATGATATAGTTCACATGTGCCTTTATTATTGAACTGAACGCAGAGCTTCTCTCAGATGGTTCTCTCGTGCCTCTGCGATCTGCCTGGGAGAAATAACTGCAGCGGGAGTTCCTGAGAGGCGCGTTTCCTGAGCTGGACTCAGGCCTGGGATTCCCTCTGTTAGTTATAAACCACACCCGCTGTAGTAAATGCTCTGATCTTTAACCTGGACTTTTACCGAGCGCCGAGGTTAAACCAGGCCGTGGGGGAGAGTTTCTCAGTGAGCTCGTCTCAGGTCTGTGTACGACACTGTTCAGAAGATTGGATCATATTAGTAATTTATATTTTAAGGTATCATAAAGTGTTTAATTCAATATTACACTCTTTCGGGGGACACTAAGAGGTTATTAAACAATAAATAATGTGTTGTAATTATTTATTAGCAGTCATTTCTTGATAAGTTACTATCCTCAAGATTTGACCATCACTTTTCAAATATGAGGCATTCTAGTGTTAATTTTATTAGAACCTTATTCTGGATATTAATTTTATCCAAAAGCTCAGTGATTTTAAACAGTGCACCAGAAACATGAGCGTGTTTTCGGTTTGGACAGAGCTCTCTGTGATGTTACCACATTAGCAGCTGGGCTGAAACTAGTTACTGAAAAAGGAAAGGGAGATGCAAATATGGATTAAGAGGTTCTCAGTCTGCAGGTTAGAGTTTAGGGTTTAGGGTTTAGGTCTCAGGGTTAGGGTTTAGGGTTTAGGGTTTAAGGTTAGGGCTTACAAGAGTTCTTTAGTGAAGGCAGGTTCTGTATAAAGTGGTTCAAAATAGCACCAAAAAGCGTTCTGCTGATTTAACGATGTCAAGGTTGTATCTTTTGTAGCTTTTTGTTGCTAACATAGAACCATTTTCAAAAAAGTTCCATATAGAACCGTATACAACACATTCTCCATCAATCTGAAGAACGATTTCACCATGCATAGAACCGTTTAAGCAAAGGGTCTATGTAGAACTCAGGGCCCTAAATACAACCATTAAAGAACCCATTCTTTGACGTGTGTAAGGTTTAGGGTTAGGGGTTAGGGCTTAGGGTTTAGGCTGCTGCATCTTGATCTATTTTAAACACTATGATGCGTGAAACTGTGTTTGTGTAGCTCGGAACGCTTGTGTTGGTCAATATTCACAGCACTTCCTTTGTCCAGCACTATTTAGCTGCAGCTTCACCGATCAAGCGGTCAGGCGAAGCTTTAGTTTGGACAGAAGAAGCCCCAGATTGGGCAAATGGTAGCCAGCTAGCTCGAGCATCGAGCAGCTTCGCTCACTGTTTGACCCTGAAGAGACGGAGGGGCAGTTCCACCTTTATTAGCATCACAACCCCAACAGCAGCCTGTAAGCAGCCCTGCTGAGAGGTTGTACCACTGTCTGACTGTTGAAGCAGATCATGTTAAACTGAGAGCTTCATAGTGAGAACAGCTTTAATTCACTGTGTTGGTGTCGAGATCGAGAGCGTGTAGCTGGTGTAGCTAACGTTAGCGACTAGCAGCTCCAAGTAACTAGCATAGCTAACTGAACAGTCTGAGGAGCTTATTCATTTTATTTTCCCGCTGTGTCTGTGTCCACGTGATGTTTCTGTGTGAGCCATCGCTGCGCCTCACTGTAAACCAGCCAATCAGAGCAGAGCTCATCTGATTATTCATGAGTCCCCCAAAAAAGGGAAAACAGCTTGTTTCATTCTGGGGCCAAATCACAGGGCTGTAAATGGGCGTATAAAACCACATCTGGGCGTTTTTCATCCCGACCAGAGTCACATACCTTCTGTGTAAACATCAGAGAACAGTAAACGTCAGAGAAGAGTTAGCCAGCTGGCTAGCAAGGTACCTTAACTAGCTAGCTGAAGCACACATTAACATTAGGTGTGTAAAAAGCTTACAGTTGTGGTTACTTAACCAGCTGTGTTAGCTATAAAGTACTACTTCAGCAAGCTCTAACTAGCTTTTAATCTCCTCAAACAGATTTTAAATTCAGAGACTTTTATTTTAGATAAATAAACTAAGACGAATATCACAAACAACTAAAAGAAAAAAAAATAATGACTGGGCCTGATGTGAAATGATTCTGTAAAGTGTTGTTGCTGACGCTGAGCTGGATTAAAATTATTTACTGAACTAGTTTATAAAGTGTAACTGAAGAAAGGAGGGAAGGAGAAGTCAGTAAACTGGGCTCTGAGTGGAAAATGAGCGATGAAAAGTGGAATTCTGTCTAATACTCTGCTTAACTGCTGGTAGACCACCCAGAAAACACTGAGCAAAACACCAGTGGACCACCAGCTTTGCCATCAGTGGGCCGACAGTGGCCCACTATCGTCTTGCTGTGTTACCCAACCGTGTTAGCTGTAAAGTTCTACTTCAGAGTGGAAGGGTTAAGGTTACGGTCATGGTTAGTTAACACATTAATCAGTAATTGCGTCCATGTTAGCTAATGTGTGTTGTTCTCAGGTCAGGGTTAAGGTAAGGTTAGATTTAGCCGTGTTCGATGATCTGAAAGGAGTTATTTGCTTTAACAAGCATTTATAGAGTTAATGAGCTTCAGCTAACTAGCTAACTTGGGTAGCCTGTTAGCTAGCTGGCTAACATTGCCCTAAGCTGAGGGTTTGCAGCTGCTGCTGGAGTGAGGTGGTGTGTATATGTGTGCGCTGCATGTATAGATTAGATGATTATATGATTATTGCACTGTTAATCTATGTTTGGTCCTACTGAGTCTTCTGCCTGTTGCGTGTTAAGATTCAGAATCATGTTCTCTTGGTGTGTGTGTGTGTGTGTGTGTGTGTGTGTGTGTGTGTGTGTGTGTGTGTGTGTGTTGCGTACACTGACTTCCCTTTCCTGTGGTGTGTGTGTTGGTTCCTCTGAGAAAGCCTGAGGTTTACTGACTCACAACAGGAAGCAACTGCTTTAAAGCGATAGATCGGCGAGCAGCACCCCCCCCACCCCCCCACCCTCCCCATCCCCCACTTACCCCAAATTAAGTCGATCAGACAAGATGCCAATGCGGAAATATGATATATGGCCATATATGCACATATATTGTTCAAGATGAGGCGTATATTTCAAAATATATGCATATATGCAAGTATCAAATATTGGACATGTATGCATAAAATATGGATCATAAGTTTTATACTAGTTCAATAAAATCCCAGTCCAGTTATAACTGTTACATTTAAATAATAATTTATTTAAGCGTCTCGGTGAAAAGTACTTTAGTTTAGTTCATGTTTTAATGAGTTTTAGAGTTTAGTCATGTAGCTTTTACACTAATTTACATTTTATGTGGACGAAACAAAGAAAATGCATGTAAAATCTTACATAATATAAACTAGTATATGTGACTAATATATACCGTCATATATAGTTAAATACATGTTGCACATATCATTATTTTGTATGTTTTTGTGTATATTTGTGAAATATTTGTCCCATGTTAGACAAGTAAGTTGGCAAATGTCACATAAATGTCCATATGTGACAAATGTAACTTGGATAAAAGGAAAATTCATATAGGCTTATATAGGTCATATATATCAGACTCCTGTATGGGTGGATTTGGTTTGCCTCAGGCTTGAGCTGCTTGATGACAGTGAGTGCGTTTACATGCTCTCAATAATCCGAGCATAATCGGATTTCTACAGTTATCTGATTATTCAAAAGGTCATGTAAACATCATATGTCTTAGGTCAGAGTAAGGTCTATAAATCTGATTAAGAAGTCTGATAAAGAGGCTGGATTTTAGCTCAGTAGTCAGGTTTCTCAGTGCATGTAAACTCTTACTCTGATCTGATTACTGTCTGACTCATGTAGACCTGGAGTTTCTCGCACCGTTGATCGCATTACTGACAAAATCTGATTTTCTGCAGGTATCGGATCATTAGGTGCATGTAAACGCACTCAGTGTGGTGGAGCTGGGTTGTGTCTATCACAGTTGCCAGTTGAGTTGTATGATTTAAGTATAGCCATGATCAATAAGCCTGTTCCTCTGGGTCGTCAGGAACCCACAGGCGTGTTCTAGAGTTCTGTTCTGAAGCTCAGCTGATCTGTGTGTGTTCTCTGCTCCTCTTCCTCAGGATGAAGGTCCAGTGAAGGAGATCAGCATAACTCATCACGTTAAAGAAGGATCGGAGAAAGCCGACCCGAGACAGTTCGAGCTCCGCAAAGTCCTCGGACAGGGGTCCTTCGGAAAGGTCAGGAGTTCATAAACACCCTGAATAAAGTCTAAAGTCTATTATTGATTAATTATTGGCTAATTATTTCAGATTATTCGTATTAATGAATTCATATAAATGAATTAGCATTATCATTTACAGTAATTGTTACAGTTATAATGAGGAACAGGCGTTTACGTCAGACTTGAATTTGTAAGGCTTCGGAATAGAGTCTTGTGCAAAAGTTTGCACGCCCCAGTCCACAAATTTGTTGATTTTCTGCGTGTGAATAAGTGAACACATCCTCTACAGAGACACACTTCTGCACATTTTAATACACAATTACTGTTTATTTACTGAATTTAACACACTGATGGGGGAAAAAGGTGTAAAATGCAGCCTGTGCAAAAGTTATGGCACATTTTAAATTATACGTTTTTGTTTTTTCTCCAATATGTTAAATTGAGCAAATAAAGTAGAGGATATGTAACTTTTTTACACTCAGAAAATCAATAAATACACAGAATTCGACCAGGGGTGCACAAACTTTTGCATTTGATTGTATAATTTATAATGATTTTAAGCTTAAATGTTTTCATTTAGCTAGCGTGCCGTGAAAACAGCAGCCCTGTTTGTAGGAGCTGCCCATTTTAATGCACAATTTACTGTTTATTTGCTGAATTTAACGCTTTGTAAACAGTAGTTACAGCTGCAGTGCAGTATCACTAATTACTGTAACAGTAGTGCAAAATGCAAACGTTTTAGTTGCATCTTAGCATTACTGTCCTGTATTAAACCCAGACCATAAACCTACAGATGAGCAGATTAACACCAAAAGTAACAGCCTAAATCTCAAATCTGTAAGATAAATTAAGTGCTAATAGTCTGTTATCTCAGCTAATGTTACTAGCCGAGTCATATTGCTCCTCTTACCTTTTTTAGCTGGGGAACAGTGAGTTTGTTTAGAGTTAGTTTGCTGAAACCAGACCTGACCCAGTCATTAAATTATGCTGAGAGCTTTATTCCATTAAATCTGCCTGAGTTGAGAGTAAAATCAACTTCAGTTTGATGTTTATCAGCGCTTTTCTGCAGCAGCCTGTATAACGTTAAGCTAAATTGCTTATTGTTGTAAATCTGATATATTTATAATTAGTATATTTAACATCAGCATTATTGATTTAGTTCCATATTCACAGATCATGGTAGATCATGTTTCTGGTTGTGTGTGCAGGTTTTCCTGGTGAGGAAGTTAACAGGACCAGATGCAGGACAGCTTTACGCCATGAAGGTCCTCAAGAAGGCAACGCTGAAAGGTGAGTGAGTCTCGATGACTTTCTGCTCTTTATTTTCTTATTCTGCTCCATAATTGAATATTTGTAAAAATCGGCTCTTCGTTTTCACTTTAATAACAGTGGGAATGGGTGTAGTGTTGCCATGGAAATGGCTGTAGCGTGACAGCGGAAATGGGTGTAGCGGGACAGTGGAAATGGGTGTAGCGGGACAGTGGAAATGGGTCTAATGGGACAGTGGAAATGGGTCTAATGGGACAGTGGAAATGGGTGTAATGTGACAGTGGAAATGAGTGTAGCGTTGCCATGGAAATGGGTGTAGCGTTATGGAAACAGATGTATTCCTCTGCTCCACAGATCAGTGGAGTGGTTGTGTTTCAGACTGATGTTTATCACTCAGCCCCTGTTATAATTCTGTTTCTATGGTCAGGATCGTGACAGCCGTTCAGTAAGAGCTCAGCTGCACTACAGCCTCTCGATCAGTTTGCCTTCGGAAACGAGATTTCTATATATGAGTGTGTTAGCGTAGTGAGTCACTGCTGTTCAGCTGTTCTGGTCGTGCTGTTTCTCATCATACGCTCTGAGGCTGCAATCTGGTTCAGTCTCTCTTTAATGTTTGTGTGTAAACAGTGGCTTCTGTGTGTGTGTGTGTGTGTGTTTCCAGTGAGAGACAGAGTGCGGACGAAGATGGAGAGGGACATTCTGGTTGAGGTTAACCACCCGTTCATCGTCAGACTGCACTACGGTCAGTAAACACGCACAGCTCAGCCAGTTTCACAGAGCACAGTTCTCAGTTAACCAGTTAAACACACAAAGCACAAATGAAGCCTTTGTTAACACAGATAACAGCAGCAGCAGCCTGAGTTTATCTGTACTTTAGTCCCTGTGTATAGATAACGGTGTGTCAGAACACACTATCGCTTTAACCTCGTAAACTCTGTGACTTTAATTACGTTACAGCTGGGCTGTACAGGGAAAATGTTCATCATCATTCAAGAAGATTTCATTGTTGATATGACACAAACTTTTATTTGTTCGTCTGAGGAGTTGGATCAGATGAAGTAGTGCCACAAATTAAAACCCTGTGAATCCAGTGATTTGTGTTCAGCATTTATTTCATGGGTGAATGGTTTCTGCCGTTTCAGCGTTCCAGACGGAGGGTAAACTGTACCTGATCCTGGACTTCCTGCGAGGAGGAGACCTGTTCACTCGTCTCTCCAAAGAGGTAAAACCAGCCGTCAACTTTAGAGCAAACACACTCCGATCGAACTCGGTCACCACGCACACTCGGATATGACCCACTTGGTCTAAATGCACCCTGTCATTACACACAGTCAGATCCGATCACGCTCTGTCCTTGTGTAAGCTCGGATTGGACCCCACTTTCTCCTTACACACACTCTGGTCCGACCGTGCTCTGTCCTTACGCATCCCCGGATCCAACCAAGCTCTGCCCTTCAGTAAACCGGGATCCGACCGTGCTCTGTCCTTACACACACTCTGATCCGACCACGTTCTGTCCTTCAGTACACTGGGGTCCAATCACACTCTGTCCTTACACACACTCTGAGCTGACCACGCTCTGTCCTTCAGTTCACTGGGATCCGATCACGCTCTGTCCTTACGCACACTCGGATCGGACCACGCTCTGTCCTTCAGTACACTGGGATCCGATCATGCTCTGTCCTTGCGCATGCTCAGATCGGACCCTGCTTTCTCATTACACACGCTCTGGTCCGACCGCACTCTGTCCTTACGCACACTTTGATCCGACCACGCTCTGTCCTTCAGTACACTGGGGTCCGATCATGCTCTGTGCTTACGCACCCTCTGATCCGACCACGCTCTGTCCTTCAGTACACTGGGATCCGATCATGCTCTGTCCTTCAGTACACTGGGATCCGATCACGCTCTGTCCTTGTGTATGCTCAGATCGGACCCCACTTTCTCCTTACACACACTCTGGTCCGACCGCGCTTTGTCCTTACGCACACCTGGATCGGACCCCACTTTCTCCTTACACTCCGATCCGACCATGCTCTGTCCTTACGCATGCTTGGATCTGACTTTGGTTCCCACCGCGCTTGGTACTTACACACACTCGGATCCAACCGCAAAAGAGACTTGATTCAAAAGCTGCGCTGTGGATTAAATGAAATTGAACTGAATTAAATGTTTGTTTAAATGATTTGTTTAAATGATTGTTGTGGATGAGCTCAGTTTTGATCAGTTATTGTAGGGTTGTCTGTAAACTTGCTGTGTGTGTGTGTGTGTGTGTGTGTGTGTGTGTGTGTGTGTGTGTGTGTGTGTGTTTGTGTGTGTGTGCTGCATTTGATCAGGTGATGTTTACGGAGGAGGATGTGAAGTTTTATCTGGCTGAGCTGGCTTTGGCTCTGGATCATCTACACGGCCTGGGGATCATCTACAGAGACCTAAAGCCAGAGAAGTAAACAGTCGATTACCATGTTATTCATTTATTTATTTAAAATAAGAAATTTATGTCAAAATATAATCAATATTCAATATAAAAGTTAATAATTTTTATTTTAAGGTGCATTTATTTACATAAAATTATAACATTGCTAACATGGTAGGACTTATGAATGATGGATTTTGATTTGAAAAATGAGCTAAATTCAGTGTTGTGTATTTTTCAGTATTCTTCTGGACCAAGAGGGTCATATTAAACTCACAGGTGAGTTCTGTGCTCCTCCATCTGTCTGTCTGATTCTCCCCTCACTCTCTACACGGCGTCAAACCACTTTCGTTGATCAGAACTTGGCGTCTGTGTTCAGCCTATCAGAGCAGAGTGGGGGGGGGGGCTTAAGCAGTGGACACACCCACACGTGGAATTTACCTGCACTTTTGCATAATTTGCATAATTAACTACATTCCCTTCATGAGTTTGTTTGGATAAAACAGCAGTTTTTCAGAACAACGTTAAACACACAGCGATAACTTTATCAAACTCCTCGTAATAAAGTGTCTCCTCTTCTGCTTTAGCCCTTGTGTGGTGTTCAGGTCTGTGGGACACGTTTTCAGTGTTACCCAAAAGAAAAAAGATGTGATTTATTATTATTTCAGCCTCAGATTCTGGTCCTTTGCTCATTTTCAGTGAAGAACATATAAAATAACCCATTTTCAGTGTCTTCACTCTGTTCACCCCCCACACATTTATATTACACATGTGGTGTTGGGCTGAACCCGCGGGGAGTAAAAGTGTGGAGGTGCTGTGTCCTTCACTCTGTTCTCCTCCTACATGGCCTGCTGTTAGTGTGTGTGTTTGTATATGTGTGTTTGTATGTGTATGTGTATATTATATTGTATATATATGTGTGTGTGAGTGTGTGTGTGTGTGTGTGTGTGTGTGTGTTTGAGGGTGGACAACATGGACAGGCTGCTGACTGGCTACAGCTGCTAAAGGAGAACCCTACACTGGACACCTGTGATATTTTAAACATTTGGTATTTTTACATACACCGATCAGGCGTAACATTATGACCACCTCTTTGTTTCTACGCTCGTTGTCCATCTTATCAGCTCCACTTACTATATAGGTGCACTTTGTAGTTCTACAGTTACAGACTGTAGTCCATCTGTTTCTCTGATACTTTGTTAGCCCCCTTTTACCCTGTTCTTCAGTGGCCAGGACCCCCATGGACCCTCACAGAGCAGGTACTATTTGGGTGGTGGATCATTCTCAGCACTGCAGTAACACTGACGTGGTGGTGGTGTGTTAGTGTGTGTTGCGCTGGTTTGAGTGGATCAGACACAGCAGTGCTGCTGGAGTTTTTAAACACCTCAGTGTCACTGCTGGACTGAGAATAGTCCACCAACCAAAAATACCCAGCCAACAGCGTCCTGTGGGCAGCGTCCAAGGAGGTGGTCATAATGTTATGCTTGATCAGTGTAAGTTGTCATGGCTGTATTGATTCAAAACAGTAATGTGGTGGGTCCAGCAGACCACTGAGTAACAAACACATCAACACCACACGAGGGTTAAAAACAGATGTGGTCTGGATTGAAAATCTTCAATCTGCACTTCCTGTTTACTTTCATAGTTTCTCCGCTTCTTTAAATGAACTACAACCCAGAAATAATTCATACAGAGCTACAGGCCGACTGTGTGTGTTTGTGTGTGTGTGCAGATTTTGGTCTGAGTAAGGAGTCTATAGATCACGAGAACAAGGCGTACTCTTTCTGCGGGACGGTGGAGTACATGGCCCCGGAGGTGGTGAACCGGCGAGGCCACACCCACAGCGCTGATTGGTGGTCGTACGGCGTCCTCATGGTGAGAGGCGGAGCCTCTGTCAGCTTTAATGCTGCGTTCAAAATAGAGCAGCTGACCAAGAAACAGGCTTTTGGTTTTCATTTCTGAGATGTTTGTTAAAATGCGAAACTGTGTACACTTACAACTGTATGCAAAAGTTTGGGCACCCCCAGTCAAATGACATGTTTGTGTTGATTTTCATTGTGAAAAATAAACACATCCTCTATAGAGAAAACGCTTAAATATGGTGAATTTTCAGTGAAATTTAGTGATGATTTCTATTAATGTGCTAAGTTTAACACACTGGGGGGGAAAATAAATCAGAAAAAATTAAATTCGCCGTAACTTCTGCACAAACCACATTTTATGTTTCATTTTTTATTCTAATATGTTAAAGTCGACAATCAATATCATGTGGAATTTGATCAGGGGTGCCCAGACTTTTGCAAACGAGTGCATTTCATCTGCAATCCCACATTCATTCTAAATCTTCACTACTACCATCATACTATTATGATTTTTTTTTGTCATGCACATTTTCAGTAATTCCTTAATTCAGCAACAATATCTGTTTGTTTAATTACAAGTGTAAATGATTGTATATCACTCATTAATTTAGGTTGATATATTTATTTTACTCTCTCCACAGTTTGAAATGCTGACCGGGATGCTGCCGTTTCAGGGGAAAGATCGTAAAGAAACAATGACCATGATCCTAAAGTGAGTCCTGCGGCTTCTGATTGGCCCAACTGTTTTTTTTTTTGATTGTCTTTTTATTTGTTTTTGAGAACATTTAAGTACACTTTTAAAAAAGATGGTTCTTCAAGGGTTCTTTAGTAAAGACAAATTCATGGTTCTGTATGGAACCATAAACACTTTAAGAACACTTTGCATGATTAAAATGTTCTCTGCATGGTGAAATGGTTCTTCAGATTGATGGAGAATGTGTTGTATATGGTTCTATGTAGCACCAGAAAGGATTCTGCTATTGTTGTGATGTCAAGCTTGTAACAATAGCAGAACCCTTTTAGGTGCTATATAGAACCATATACAGCAAGAACCATTTCACCATGCAAAGAACCAGAAGATGAAGGCTAAAGTTGGTATTTAAAGACTGTCTGTGGTGCTGTGTGTCATCCAGCTCTGATTCTGTTTGTGTATTGTGTGTGCTTGTGTGTGTGTGTGTGTGTGTGCTTGTGTGTGTGTGTGTGTGTGTGTGTGTGTGTGTGTGTGTGTGTGTGTGTGTGTACGAGCGCAGGGCTAAGCTAGGCATGCCTCAGTTCCTCAGCTCTGAAGCCCAGTCTCTTCTCCGAAATCTGTTTAAGAGGAACCCAGGGAACCGTCTCGGTAAGAACATTCGGCCTAGACAGAAACAGAGACTATTTCTTTTATACACCACAGAGGAAGTGACCAGGTTTACTGGGCAGTGTAGTTGACCAGTTAGGTGTAATGATGTTGTTTGTGTGTTTAGGAGCCGGTCCTGATGGAGTCGAGGAGATAAAGAGACACCCCTTCTTCTCCACGATTGACTGGAACGTAAGTGTGATAGGCTGGTTCCTCGAAAAGGGATTAAGACTAGTCTTGGACTACACTGAATTCTGAATAGAGACTCTCCATCGAAAAGAAAATACAGCCCAGAACTAAGCTTAATACTGTATAATTCATAGTAGACGCTGACTAATTAATAGTAGACGCTGAATAATTCATAGTAGATGATGAATTTTATATTTTAAGTGTCTAAAAATAAACTTTTGGATTATGATAGAAAACAACATATTGCATTTTTGGAAAGTGTGCGATTGTGTATCTTGTTTGAGGTTTTGATTGATGTCTGTAGAGGTGTGATTTTAATTTTGGCTGTATTATTTCTATAGAAGCTGTTCCGTAGAGAAGTGACTCCGCCTTTTAAGCCAGCCAGCGGCCGGCCGGACGACACCATCTACTTCGACAGTGAATTCACCGCAAAAACACCTCGAGGTGAGGAGCTCAGACTGTCTGAGACATCTGTTACTTTAACCTCGTATTCCTGTAGGGCTGCAACTCATCATAATCATCTGAACATTACAGAGCTTTTTAAATGAAACAGTAGAACTACATTTGTTTTTTTTTCTTTTTTTTCATAAGATTTTTTTTAGAAATGACTATTTGCATTTGCAACAATCAGTCATAGATAATTGTGTTTCAGTACATGAGTTGTTCATTTGTGTTGCTGTGTGTTTGTGTGTAGATTCTCCTGGCGTCCCCCCCAGTGCAAATGCCCACCAGCTATTCAGAGGATTCAGCTTTGTAGCAACAGGAGCAGAGATGGAGAGCCAGCCTCCAATCCAGACCAACACCAGCATCAGCAGCGTACTGCAGGTACACTCACACGCTAAACGAGTATTACGCTCTGACGTGTAATAATTATTTGTCCTGTGTCAATTTTATTTATGTAATTTTGTATTTTGTGCACCTTTTCTGTTATTACTTTTATTTGTAGTTCCTTTATTGTTGTTCTGTTTTTCTCTGTTGGTTTTATTTGTCTTTCTCTGTTGCTTTTACTGTAAAGCACTTTGAGCTGCATTTAATGTATGAAAGGTGCTATATAAACAAAGACTTATTTTATTATTATTATTATTGTAAGTACCAAAAAGTAATGATATATACTCATATGAGCAATATATATATGGAATTACCTAGATGTAATAGTATGTCCCAAATATAATAACATGGTTTTATACATGTAATTAAGTAGTAATTGTACGTGTCTCATATGTGATAGAAGTATATATGCAGAAGTACCGATGTGTAAGAATCATTTAAATTGAACCCTAATCTTAATCTCAGGAACCTCAAGAAATGGTTTTGTGTTTTCAGTTGTTAAAAATTAAACAATGTTTTTCTCTGGATTTATCGGCCAATCTTGCATACACTGCTCTAATCGGTCATCGCTCTAGACGCTCTGTTTAGAGA